CGGCCAGATTCGAATTCAGCTCACAAAATTACGTCGGAAGTCACTATTGCATCTTAAAAAAAAACCTCGCAGGCCTGTGTTCTTTACGAGTTGAAGGTATAACGCGTGAGAGCAGTAAAATTATACCATTTTCTCAGCATTATTATAATAGCAGTACTATTACTATTATTATTACCGTTATTACCGTTATTATTTTCATTATATTATTAGATGTAAACTACCTTGTACAGCTGCCGTTATCCTCGCTCTTCCTTTGATTTTTGCCACCGTCGTCGGGAATATTTATTATCGAGGCCACGAGAATATTTATTATCAAGCCCGAGGACCTTTCGAAAGTTGAAGGCAAATCCATGAGGCACGAAAATGTATTAAATAGACGAATTCGCAGTGATTAACATTCGGAAAGATATATTTTGAATTAGTAATTCGCTTGTCCTCCGTACAAGCTAATATATTAGCGCAACATGCACATCGTTAAACTTATATATGTCACTCTTCCGACAATAAAATATCTTCATGTAAATGATTTTAAATGTAACAAATGCAATTATCCAATATAAGACGATGAAAATTACGATCCCAAATTTTGTAAGACAAGATAAAATTGCAAATATCGCTCGAATAAAATTCGGTAGACAAAAATAACATAAACATAAATATGTGTCCTTTCTTTCTTTAAATCTAGTCGCGCGTCTTTAACGATGTCTACGCGATCACATTTATCCTGGGAATCCAATTCCTGCGGTATCTAATCTAAAATGAATGGCATGTGGCTCCGATTCAAGAGAGCGCAGGCCCAAATCAAAAGCTGTCATTGCAAAATGTACGCAAGATACGTTGCTCGAGCAACGTGTATGTCTGCCCCGTGTTAGTGTTGTATGGTATTCGGGTTATCCTCAATATCGCGCGGAAGATAGCCGCAGAATCTCGCGGGAATTTAATTTGTACTTGGATGCGGATGGATGTTGCTTCATGTAGAAACGCGGACTGCAGCCATTCCGGCCTACGTGATGAATGCTCGTACTTGCAATTCACATTTCGATTGTCAAACGTCTCGTTCATGCACACGTGCGTACAGCCACACGATTGTAAAAAAAGAAATTACAATTCATCATTATTTTACATGAGCGGAATTTGAATTTTCTGCGAATCGCGTCTCCTATTCTTGAATAAATAATAGAGATGCGTCGGGGATAAAATTATAAGATGTTATCCCGCCGAAAATATTGCGCCCTAGATACATCTGATCTATATGATTCGACGGGAAACCGGAGATCACGGCCAAGAAATTTAATGGATATAGTGACAGAGAGAGATAACCCCTACGAGAGGGTGGGGGTGGAATTTGGTGTGGTGTTTCTGACAAAGGCTCTAATGACGTATGATAGTAACCTTCGTGAGGAGCACGATACATATTCCGGGTGATATGCATATTTAGTAACGTTCTACAACCCTCTCTCTCTCCCTTTCTTCTCGTAGAAATGCACAGGGCACGCTGCCAAATCAGCAAAATTGAATCGGAAGAGAATTCTTAGGAGAAGCGCTTTATTACGTTATTATATTTAGATTCGTCGAGGTGGCCGTGCACTTTCTCGCGGTCGTTTTATACTTCCAGCAGAAGTTGAAGGCAAATTCACTTGATTAGAATATCGCGAGAATTGCGTACATTTATTTCGTTCGCCTACATTATCCTCCAACGACACAACAATATTAAGCAAGCACATACACACTAATGCTATGACGCACGATATCTTTCCGTTTGTGTAAATGATGTATTACATCGAATTTATTTTAATTATACAAAATACGCGAAATACAATTATAACTTTCTATACGTATCATCAGAATGTATAATTAATTCAATCAATTTCAATCACCAAATTATTACCGCGAAAGTCTCGTTGCTTTTTTGCTTCGTTTTTTCATCGTCATCGTCTTGAGAAATTTTACTAATGGCCTCGAAATGTTAGGACACCTATATTTTTCCTGTATAAATAGTACATTAAATTGAATTCTCATTTCAATTATTCAAAATGCGCGAAATGTATAACTATAATTTTCTGGACACATTATCAGGATGTATAATTAATGCAGTCAATTGCAATCATCCCCACCAAATTATTATCGCAAAAGTCTCTTTGTTTCTTTATCGTCTTGAGAAATTTTATTAATGGCCTCGAAATGTTAGGACACCTATATTTTTCTTATATAAATAGTGTATTAAATTGAATTATCACTTTAATTATTCAAAATGCGCAAAACGTATAATTATAATTTTTGTACAGATTATCAGGATGTATAATTAATGCAGTCAATTGCAATCATCTCCACCAAATTATTACCGCGAAAGTCTCTTTGTTTTTTTGCTTCGTTTTTTTCATCATCTTGAGAAATTTTACTAATGACCTCGAAATGATAGGACAGCTATATTTTGCCTGTATAAATACAGTATATTAAATTAAATTCTTACTTTAATTATTCAAAATGCGCAAAATGTACAATTATAATTTTTTGTACACATTATCAGGATGTATAATTAATGCAGTCAATTGCAATCATCTCCACCAAATTATTACCGCGAAAGTCTCTTTGTTTTTTTGCTTCGTTTTTTTCATCATCTTGAGAAATTTTACTAATGACCTCGAAATGATAGGACAGCTATATTTTTCCTGTATAAATACAGTATATTAAATTAAATTCTCACTTTAATTATTCAAAATGCGCAAAATGTACAAATATAATTTTCTGGACACATTATCAGAATGTATAATCAATTCAATCAATTTTAATCATCCCCACCAAATTATTACCGCGAAAGTCTTTGCTTTTTTGCTTTGTTTTTTCATCGTCATCGTGTTGAGAAATTTTATTAATGGCCTCGAAATGTTAGGACAGCTATATTTTTTCTGTATAAATACAGTACATTAAATTGAATTCTCACTTTAATTATTCAAAATGCGCAAAATGTACAATTATAATTTTCTGGACGCATTATCAGAATGTATAATCAATTCAATCAATTTTAATCATCCTTATCAAATATATTACCGCGAAAGTCTCGTTGCTCTTTTGCTTCGTTTTTTCATCATCGTCTTGAGAAGTTTTACTAATGACCTTAAAATGATAGGACAGTTATATTTTCCTATAAATACAGTATATTAAATTGAATTCTCATTTTAATTATTCAAAATGCGCAAAATTACAAATATACAATTATAATTTTCCGGACGCATTATCAGGATGATAATTAATTAATTCAATCAATTTCTCTCGGCCAAATTATTATCGAGCGACTCGTTGCTATTTTTACTCGTCTTTTTTCACTGTCATCGTCAACTCTACTAATGGTCCCGACGAAATCACCCGGGGCGCCTATATATCTCGCCGCCAGCCATTGTTAAATTTCTCGGATCGGTCAGATCGGCCACGTGCATTATTCGATTTGCATTATTGCACGTTAGGTCGCGTGTCGCGCGCGCGCGCTCCTGGCCACCTATTTACCGCGCCTTGGGGTGTTGAATTTTTTTCCCGCGCACGCCGGGACGTCTTTCTTCTTTTATGTCCTCAAGTAGCCTGAATTGCCGATAAGCATCGCATTGTCGACCCCTGCGAATATTTATAAAAGTGTGGTAATTTTTTGCATTTTCATATTCTGATTATGCGCATCGCGCGAAGTGCCGATTGTTGCGTGTCATGTTGTGTCGGATACGTAAGGTCGAATGACGAAGGGAGAATGAGCGAGGATTACGGGCGAGATATCGCGGCATCAAAAATCCCCCTCCTCGCCCTCCGCGCGCGATATAATTGCGCTTTTTTTTAACATTTCAACTGGCGTTACTTCCTCCTTTAATAATGCCGTATACCTCTATCGCGCTTAAAATTACACACCGAGCGGTTCCTCGCGGCAGAAATCAATAATGAACTGTAATATAATGGCGCTGTTATTGTTAGTGGCGATGTAAATGCGAATGTATGTACGCAAACATGCACACATGCACGTATCTCGCGTCCATACCAGTCGTATCACGCATGAGATGTAAGGTATACGGATAAGATATCCGACCCGAAGACAGTTTCTCCATTTTTCATACGGCAAGTACGTCGGCGCGTGTACCGTATGTGTTTCTACTGAATTATTCATCATGTTAAGCATTTTTGATCCGAAGTAGTCGAAAAAGAAGGGAAATCGCGTATTTTCTTCTTCAGAGAGGGAAATTTATTTTATTCCAAGATTCGAGATTAAGAATAATTTATTTGCCTTCCCGACTTGTTGATTATATTCATGTGTTAGATACAATCGACATGTATAAATAGTAGAATTTTTTCTTTTCAATGTGCGCGAAATTTGTGTTTCATTTTTATTATTATTTTTTTTAAATCGATGTTTGAGTTTTTTTTAACACGATTGTTTTATAATTCAATACTAGCAAATTATTGTATAAATAACCAATAAACAATATATCGATACATCAATATTGCCATGAATAAAACATTCTCTTAAATCGTATAAATAAAAGTACTGTCTACATTTAAAATTCACTATAAAAATACACTTTCCAATACGTCCATGCAAATTTATGACTTGACTTTACAGTTGAATGACTCGTTTGCGACTAGTTGTGATTCTGTTTCTTTAAAGATGAAAGCGCAGATAGATCAGAGATATGTCGGCGCGATCTTCGGACAGAAGCCAAATCTTTAAGAAAAGCAATGTCAGCGGAAATATTTAAAGTATATGCCACAGATTATTATTTAAGTTTTTATTTCGCATTAGTAGTTTTATCTTAATATCTTTTGTTTTAATAATTAATCAATGCGCATAAATAATCATGATGCATTTAATTTAATCAGATGATTAAATTGAATGCATCATCATATGTATGTGATAATATATTAATAATATGAATAATAATAATATAAAAAATACGGTGACATATTAGATGATATTACCGGAATTATAAGTCAAAGTATCGTATGCATTTTTATTATTTGATTTTTAGGAAATCGCGGCCATCCTGATCAGTTTTCAGAGACACGCCGAATGGCAAAGTCGGGAGGTAAAAGTACGACCACGAAGTGGTTCGATGTTACTGTACTCGAGAAAGAAAGTACGCTACCGACGAGATGGTTATTGCTGGAAGAAGAGAAAAGATGGAAAGACTACACGGGAGGATCACATGAAACTGAAGGTAAATTTAAAATAAAAAAGATATAAAAATATATTATATACACTGAGAAAAAAAACTAGTTGCATTAATTCGAATTCTGGTAGATTCAACCAGTATGTCTGTTGGAAAATGGATGAACCAGAATTCTTGTAGGAATTACCAGATGAATCTGATTAATTTCTTCCTGTTTACCAAATTTACCAAATTTACCAAATTTTCTGGTTATAATACTAAACCAGCACCAAGTCGTTTAAAATTCTTTTCATTTAATCTCAAAAGTCAGTTTAATATTCTGAATTCCAACAAGATTATTGGATAAATTCAATCTAGATTATTGAATAAATTATTTTAAATTCACTTTGTTAGAAATTAAACTGATAAACAGTGATGCAAGAAAAAAATGCAGCTTAAACACACACAATCAGAGAGCTAGCGTCCTCTTTCTGACACTATTGCTCGTAAGAGAAAAAAAATATACTGAGAAAAAAATCTGATTGCATTAATTAGAATTCTGGTAGATTCAACCAGTATGTCTGTTGAAAAATGGACGAACCAGAATTCTTGTAGGAATTACCAGATGAATCTGATTAATTTCTTCCTGTTAAATTTCCCAAATTTTCTGGTTAATAATACTAAACCAGCACCAAGTCGTTTAAAATTCTTTCCATTTAATCTCAAAAGTCTGTTTAATATTTTGAATTCCAACAAGCTTATTGGATAAATTCAATCCAGATTATTGAATAAATTATTTTAAATTCAGTTTGTTAAAAATTAAACTAGTAAAGAGTGATGCAAGAAGAGGATGCAGCTCAAACACACACAATCAGAGAGCTAGCGTTCTCTTTCTGGCACTACTGCTTGTAAGAGAAAAAAAATACATTGAGAAAAAATTTGGTTGCATTAATTAGAATTCTGGTCGATTCAACCAGTATGTCTGTTGAAAAATGGACGAAATAGAATTCTTGTAGGAATTATCAAATGAATCTGATTAATTTCTTTCTGTCAAATTTACCAAATTTTCTGATTAATAATACTAAACTCGTCAGCACCAAGTCATCTAAAATTTTTTCAATCTAATTTCAAAAGTCTGTTTAATATTTTCAATTCCAACAAGATTATTGGATAAATTCAATCCAGATTATTGAATAAATTATTTTAAATTCAGCGTCTTCTTTCTGGCACTACTGCTCGTAAGAGAAAAAAATATACTTTCGGTTTAATGTCAATACTAGTTCTTTAGATACATTTTATTGCAAATATTATGAGTTAAGTTAAGAGTGGCTCGCCGCCTAACGGTAAGCAAAAAATTAATGTAACAGGAAATTTTATAGATCCAACCAGAAAATACTAACCAAATCCTTATAGTAAAATCTATTAAACGTTTTAGTTATAAAAAATCGAGTCTTATCATGATAATTAGAAATTCTTGTTTGATTTAACCAAAATGCCTTCAATCATATACGTCTTGTTGGTACAATCAAACGATTGTTCTCAGTGTACATATATAATATATATTTATATTTTTAAAAAGTTGATAATAAATTGAATAATAATAATTATTTCAATGCTCGTTAAAACTTCTTAAAATCGAAAATCGTGGGAAATTCTTGGGCAAAAAATTGCTGCCAGATTCCACTATTCGTGACAATTTAATTACAGGTCCAGGGAGTCGAGTGCATCTACGGCTGTTACGTGCACTCGGCTATCCTTCCGACGTTTCATCGCCGGTGTTACTGGCTACTACAGAATCCGGACGTTGTTCTCGTCCATTATCTGAACGTTCCTTATCCGGACGGCGATGCGAAGCTGGCGGCCCTGCCACCCTGTCTCGCGCTGCCACCAGACAAGAAGGAATGGACGCGAGACGAGCTCGCGTCTCAATTAAGGCCCATGTTCCTCGGCGGAGATGATGATCCAAACAATCCTCATCTCACGCAACACTCGAACCATCCCGTCGACATGATAGTCTCTCAGCTGCTCGACAGGCAGAGGGCATCTTCTACTTCCTCCACCACCAGCACTCAACTCGCACCTAGGAGACTTACGCCCGACAATCAGGTATTACGTTACTTTCCATGTGTCGAGATAAATATTAATTTCCCTGGAATTTATAATAATTTACAACTCGTAAATATTTAATAAATTATTTCTTAATAATTTACAATTTTTTACATTGAAAGTTTTCCGTAACATTATATCGTTTAATATGATTTATTATCGTTTCATATGTATAACACAGGCCTGCGAGGTTTTTCTTTTTAAGATGTAATAGTGATTTCCGACGTAATTTTGTGAGCTAAATTCGAATCTGGCCGCCGAATTTGCGTAGCACGTCACGTTTTTAAGTAATTTGTAATTGAATGGTTCAAAAATCGCTATTTTGGCCAATTTCATGAATTTATTGCGAGGAAACCAAATTTTTTGAAATATTTCTTCCAATGGCATCGTATAATACTCACTTTCGCCTTTCAAATCCACTTTCGATTACCGCCGCACGACTTTTCTTCGCTGAGATATATAAGTATGACGTTGTAAGAAAATTTACGTTAAAGAAAATTTATATAGACATCAATATGGTAGATCCATGATGTTGAAAGTTGAAAAGACTAACATATGTCAGGTTTGGTTGTCCAAAAATTATTGTAAAGAAATATCTAATACAGTTGTTACACATTTCGATAAATTTTTCTAAATTTTATGCCTTTTTATTGTAATTCTATTCGCCATATTGGATGCGCCTTTTTTAATTTCAAAAAGTGACAGAAGATTTAAAAATGTATATTTTTATCCTAATTTTGATTCGTAATGAAATAAAGAGATGGCACACTTGATTTAGAATGATTTATTAAATCCCTATGCATGACCAGTCTTATGACTTGTATATCTGAGCGAAAAAAAATCGTGCGGCGGTAATCGAAAGTGGATTCGAAAGATGAAGGTGAGTACTATACGATACCATTGACAGAAATATTTCCAAAAATTTGGTTTACTCACAATAAATTCATGAAATTGGCCAAAATAACGATTTTTGAGCTATTTAACTACAAATAACTCAAAAACCTGACGTGCTACGTAAATTCGGCGGCCAGATTCGGATTCAGCGCACAAAATTACGTCAAAAATCACTATTGCATCTTAAAAAGAAATTTTGACCTTCTGTTTTGCAGGCCTGTGTAATTAAGTCAGTTTCACGATGTATTATTACTTGAAATAGGTCTCTTCGACAACGGGAGGTCAGCAACCGTCGACGACAGCGGCTCCGGCTCCCCGTGTGTATTCAAGACATTCCCATTCCACTCAGAGCCAACAGCCGGCTCCTCTAGTTTTAAGTTTGCAACAAATTCAAGGCGGTGGTGGTCTTCTGATACTCAACAGTCAACCATATCATCATCAGCAGCAACAGCAGCAGCAGCAACCTCAGCAGCAGCCGCAACAACCGCAGCAGCAGCAATCGCAACAGCAGCAACAGCAGCAGCAGCAGCAGCAGCAAGTAGAGATGCAACAGGTCACGGAACAACAACTCGTGCCACAGACCAGCGTAGATCGAGAGCAGCAGACGCAACAAGAGATCGAGGCACAGGAAAACATGGACAGATCCGGCGTGCAATCTCTACCGATCGGCGGTTCCGGCTCCGAGGTGACCGATTTCGCCGAAACGTTGGATCTGAGTCAGGAGGACATTCAGAAGACATTGTCGGCTAATATGGTACCTCCATCGCCGTCGCCGTCGCCGGCGGATAACAGCATGATCAATCCGATGGACTTTATCGACTCGTCGGACGACGTGCTGGTCAATCTAGACGCGTTCGACGTGTTCGGCGATTTGCCAGAGCTGCACGACTTCGAGGCCGATCAAACGAAGCACGAGGAACAGCGAGGTGGTCCCGAGAACGACGTCGGATGTCATCCTGGTACAACCGTCCATATTGCAGAGTATAGTCCTGAATGGAGTTACACCGAGGGTGGTGTAAAAGTGAGTACCTTCATTTCCAATATTTGAAATTAAATTACAAATTTAATTTAAATTAAATTAAAAATTTTATATGAAACTTTTACCAAAGATATAATTGATTAAATATTTGAAAAGAAAGAGAAAATACAATATATTCACACGCGAATTATCCTAAATTTATTTTATAACATTCTCCAGGTATTAGTTGCTGGTCCATGGACCGGCGGTAGTGGTTCTCAATCATATTCGGTACTTTTCGACGCGGAACCGGTTGAGGCGTGCCTCGTGCAACCGGGTGTATTGCGCTGTCGATGTCCGGCGCACGCACCAGGAATAGCGTCCCTCCAGGTGGCATGCGACGGATTTGTCGTGTCCGACAGCGTTGCCTTTGAGTATCGTAGAGCGCCGACGAGCGAACCTAGCCCAGAGAAAGCTTTGCTGGATCGCCTTGCGGACGTCGAGGCCCGTTTGCAAGGTCCCGGTCCGCCATCTCCCGCAGCACATCTGGAAGAGCGACTGGTTGCTTATTGCCAGGTACCTTAAGGATTATTCGACATTCTCGATGATTGCACTGAGAAAAATCGTTTGATTGTACCAACAAGACGTATATGATTGAAGACATTTTGGTTGAATCAAACAAGAATTTTTAGTTATCATGATAAGACTTGATTTTTTATAACTAGAACTTTAATAGATTTTACTATAAGGATTTGATTAGTATTTTCTTGTTGGATCTATAAAATTTCTTGTTACATTAATTTCTTTGCACTCTTAACTTAACTCGTATTAAATATTTGCCATAAAATGTATACAAAGAACTAGTATTAACATTAAATCCAAAGTATATTTTTTTTCTCTTACGAGCAATAGTGCCAGGAAGAGGACGCTAGCTCTCTGATTGTGTGTTTGCTGCATCTTCTTGTTGCATCACTATTTATCAGTTTAATTTCTAACAAACTGAATTTAAAATAATTTATTCAATAATCTGAGTTGAATTTATCCAATAATCTTGTTGGAATTCAGAATATTAAACAGACTTTTGATATTAGATGGAAAAAATTTTAGACAACTCGGTGCTGGCGAGTTTAGTATTATTAACCAGAAAATTTGGTAAATTTAACAGGAGGAAATTAATCAGATTCATCTGATAATTTCTACAAGAATTCTGATTCATCCATTTTCCAACAGACATACTGGTTGAATTTACAAGAATTCTAATTAATGCAACCAGATTTTTTCTCAGTGCATTATACATATTTTTTTTTTATGGAAAATAATGACCGTTTACAAAAATAAAAATTTATTATATAAAATATTATCATTATGTATTTTTTTTCAAGAAAGATAATTAATGATAGATAAAAAATATCAAATTTAAATATTATTATAATAATTATTAAAGTAATTAGAATTATAAAAATTACAATAATTATAATTATAATAATTATTACAATAATTTTCCTAGATAAACATCCACCTTGTAGGAAATTTTTCTGTGATGCAAAGTTATTTCTGCGAGAGTGAAATAATTCCAACGCGTATGCATTCAACACTTACAATTGACAAGTGACAGATAATTAAATGTACAATTTTAATTAAGGATATATTGGACGGACGAAAAAATTAAAGTTGGGCAGAATACGAATTGATCAAAAACTTTTTAAAAATCATGAAATCATACTTCAAATTATTCTTTAATATAAATAGGTCTTAATTTCCAAGAAAATGTTGCCACGTTTTATCATTAATATTGCGTCAAATCGATAATCACAGTTATTTTTTAATAATAATTTCAAAACGAGCAAGTAAATCGTTTTAAAACTTTGTGGGAACATTTTTACATGTATGAAGAATATAATATTAGAAAATGAAATTTTTATCATTGTTTTCTTATAGTTCTTATAATTTATTACCTGTCTCTTGAACGTTTACATAAGTACTATGTTAAATCGCAAAATTCAAAAATTAATAACCTTTAAAGGAGCAAGTAAAAAATTTTGAAATAATTCATGACGATTTAGAATATTATTAAGAATGTTAAATTAAAAATTCACGGCGATCTCATTGATTGTAATATATCTCCAATACATCCTTAATACAATCAGATTTTTTTCTCAGTGTGAAACTCAGCGTCTAATTTTAGTCTTAAACACGATAAGTATAATTTAATAAATTATAAAATTGCAGGATGCTGTTGTCCGTCCTTGGCGAGCTGGAGCGGAACCTCTTCAATCCGGTGGGCCTACCCTTCTGCATCTGGCGGCCGGATTGGGATACTCCAGGTTAGCCTGTGCACTCCTTCACTGGAGAGCGGAAAATCCTAGTAGCGTTTTGGATGCCGAAGTCGATGCTCTCAGGCAGGATAGCGCCGGTCTCACGCCGCTTGCTTGGGCTTGCGCGGCAGGACATGCCGACACCGCCAGAATTCTTTACAGGTTTGTAAAAAAAATCATTTATTCGTTCTGGAACAACATTTAATGTTACTTATCAACAATAATAGACTATGGATTTACGAGAAAAATTGCAATTTGTGCGACTTGAAATAGTTTTACGCATCGTTAAACTGATTTTTAACAAGTATTTCTCGTTGACACCGTGCCTTAGATGGAATGCTATGGCGCTTCGCGTGAGGGACTGTCAGAATAGAACAGCGACCGAACTGGCCGCGGAAAACGGCCACGCGGCAATCTCCGAAGAACTGAATCAGCTCGAAGCCCGAAGGCAAGACGAGAGGCTCTTCTTGCGACCCGCCAGCCCTAGCCCCAGGAGGCCATCTCAAGACAGCGGTCTCGATCTGGCGTTGTGTTAGTCTCGTTTGCTATTATACTGCCCTCTCTTCCGTATACACGCGCACATACAAAGACACATACACATTCACGTATCGATACACGTATATTCACACTCTCTCCCATTTTCCGTTAGCCTCTAGCGCCACTGTATTCTTCCTCCTCCCTCCTCTTTCCCTCACCCAGTAAAAGTAGAGTCACCAAAAGGCCGTAAACTCATGCGAGCGTAATAAATTAGGCAACGTCTATTAGCATTAAGTGGGGTTTATCGAAAAACACACAGGTGGCTCGCCGCTGCTGGACAACATGGAATTGTTGCAAGAGGATGAGTCGTCGTTAGGCCTCAGCGAACAGGGAATGGAGAGCGCTCCGACCCCTCAGGAGACCGTAGGTCCGTACCTTCCTCGTTTTCCTCTTCTATTTGTCTGTCTGTCTGCCTGTCTGTATAAAACTATCCATGTAACTCTGTCTGTTCTCTGTGACACACTACCGAATAGAACAGATCGGCCTAGACGTATATACTACTACAATTACGCGGATTGCGTAGAGATCCTAGCTGCGTCCCTTGTTCGCAGACACACATACATACACATTTTACACGAACACACATATACGCGTAACAACAGTGTTCTCTTTCTCTCTGTGTGTGTGTGCGGTCGGCAATCACGCTGCCTTCTCTAACTCTTCTGAACTCTTACAGCTTGACAAATATTTGGTGTTGCTTGGCCTTCGTAACTGCTGGTGTTAAATGAATCGCTGTATAATATCTAACTTTCTTAGCCACTTAGCCTATTATCCGGCTATCGAAGCCTGTTCTGGAACGACGATAAATGCGTGCAATTTTGAAAAGACGGCAGTAGCGATTATATAAACTGCATAATTGAACAGACGCGCGATCTGTTCGACCGATCGATGTGGACGTGTCGCACAGCTGGGCTGCCTCAGGTTATTCTTAAAAAAAAAAGACTTTCAACGAGTAGAAAAGCATTATTATTCACCGGTGACTTGTCCAATTCGAGTTGTCAATTCGTGTCGTAGCGGCACACTTGTTGGTGTTAAGCATTTTAGTCTGACGTTACGACAGCATCCCGATGGATCGTAGAACACGCTCACGGCTTTTAAACTGTCGGTGTTGTGATCGATGTGATTTCGGCGGCCTGCCACCACGAACTTTTCGAGTTTGGCTAGGGTGGTGATTCCTTTTTATAGGGGAGGAAGACGCGAGGGTGCTGACATTGGCAGAGCAAATTATAGCGGCGCTACCGGAAAGGATCAAGAGGGCGGAGGGTGATTCTCCGTCTTCTTCCTCGCCACCGCCACTCGCGGCACCTCTGTCGCCCTTGGAAGACGCCCTGATGGAACAAATGGTGAGTGTATTAGCTGCCCGTCATTAATAACACAGATCTGCAAGGTTTTTGTTTTAAGATGCAATAGTGATCTCCGACGTAATTTTGTGAGCTGAATTCGAATCTGGCCGCCGAATTTGCGTAGCACGTCACGTGAGAGTAATTTGTAATTGAATGGCTCAAAAATCGCTATTTTGGCCAATTTCATGAATTTATTGCGAGGAAACCAAATTTTTTGAAATATTTCTGCCAATGGCATCGTATAATACTCACTTTCGCTTTTCAAATCCACTTTCGATTACCGCCGCACGATTTTTCTTCGCTGAGATATATAAGTATGACGTAAGAAAATTTACGTTAAAGAAAATTTATATAGACATCAATATAGATCCATGATGTTGAAAGTTGAAAAGACTGACATATGTCAGGTTCGGTTGTCCAAAAAAGTATTGTAAAGAAATATCTAATACAGTTGTTACACATTTTGATAAATTTTTCTAAATTTTATGCCTTTTTATTGTGATTCTATTCGCCATATTGGATGCGCCATTTTTAATTTCAAAATGTGACAGAAGGTTTAAAAATGTATATTTTTATCCTAATTTTGATTCGTAGTGACATAAAGAGATGGCACGGTTAATTTAGAATGACTTATTAAATCCCTATACATGACCAGTCTTATGACTTGTATATCTGGGCGAAAAAAAATCGTGCGGCGGTAATCGAAAGTGGATTCGAAAGATAAAGGTGAGTACTATACGATGCCATTAACAGAAATATTTCCAAAAATTTGGTTTACTCACAATAAATTCATGAAATTGGCGAAAATAGCGATTTTTGGGCTATTCAACTACAAATAACTCAAAAACCTGACGTTCTACGCAAATTCGGCAGCCAGATTCGGATTCAGCGTACAAAATTACGTGAAAAATCACTATTACATCTTAAAAAGAAATGTTGATCTCCTTTTTTGCAGGCCTGTGTCGAAATATTTTACATGTCAAAAATTTTATTTTATTACAACCTTTAATTTCCCAATAAATCAAGCGCGCGTAAGAATTTGTACAAATGATTAATTGGGATATTAAAAGTTGCCCTCCAGAGTACAAAGTTCGCACCCACGAAATCAAAGGAATAGCACGATCGTTAGATTCCGTCCTGAATCATAATTAAGAGTCAAACTTTGAGGATTAGAGCCTCGATAAATGGGACGCCGAAGCGTCTGGGTCTCCCTGTAAAACTCAATTTCCATGCTAATCCTTCCTGCTTACAGCCTCTCGACTCCGGCGAGCTGTTCGACTCGTATCGCGACTGCAATGGCGGCGCTGCCTCGATTTCGGACGCGGACGCCGACGCCGACGCCAGTCCCTCGAGTCCCTCCAGCAGTTGCCTGACGCCGGACTCGCCGTCCCCGCCGCCCACCACGGCTGACTTCTGCGAGTTTCTGCAGCTGCAGCTGCATCTCGACGGCAACGGCAACGCGCACAATGCGTATTATTCGCCGAATGGCGGCGAGCGCAGGTTGAACGGCATGCTCGGCTCCGGTGCTCTGACGGCTACAGCGAGTGACGGTGGCAGCGAGGCGGATCTGAGCAGGTTGACGTTGTCCGATCGCGAGCAAAGGGAGCTCTATCACGCCGCCAGGATGATCCAGAAGGCGTACAGGAACTACAAGGGTCGTCAGAGGCAAGAGGAGGCCGAGAGGCACGCCGCCGTTCTGATCCAGCAATACTATCGTCGACATAAACAGTACGCTTATCACAGGTAACTCTCGCTTGCGAAGCATTCTGAGAATCTGTGGCAGGTCTCTGTTTTATATTTTTATTATATTACATCTCCTTTTTCGCGTATATATTTTTTTTCATATACAGAGTGTCCCAAAAGTCTCAGACCGGTCGAATATTTCATAAACTATGCACTTTAGAAAGAAATGTTTCAGACAAAAGTTGTATGGCTTGAAAGGGGCCATCAGATAGTGGCAATGATTTGACATGGGAGAGTCATTTAAAAGTCACGTGAAGATCACCATCAATTTCTTAAATGGAACTCCCGATTTTTTATTAAATATTCTGGTAGCTCACGTCGAGAGCTTTCCAAAACACTATAATTAAGTTAGTTTTCATTAAGTATTTTTCGAATTATGAGGCTTGAAATCATTTCTTAATTTTACATAAACCGTAAAATATCTTGTAAAATATTCATTTTTCGATTATCTTACCTTAATACTTTTATGTACAAAATAATGAGAGGAATCAATTGGTGTAAAGAAAAAACATAGTTGTTTTAAGAAAAAAATATGTAATTTGCAATTAACAATTACATATTTTTTTCTAAAACAACTATGTGTTTTCTTTACACCAATTGATTCCTCTCATTATTTTGTACATAAAAGTATTAAGGTAAGATAATCAAAAATGAATATTTTACTAGATATTTTATGGTTTATGCAAAATTAAGAAATGATTTCAAGCCTCATAACTCGAAAAGTACTCAATGAAGAAAAATTTTGTTATAGTAACAAATCAAAATTAATATCGAAAGGCAGTTAAGAGCCAACGCAGTTGTAGGGCGTGGATAAAATAATTTCCAAAACAGTTTTGTTATAGTGTTTTGGAAAGCTCTCGAGGCTACACGAATATGTAATAAAAAATAGGGAGTTGCGTTTAAGAAATTGACGATGATCTTTACGTGACTTTCAAATGACTCTCCCATGTCAAATCATTGCCACTATCTGATGGTCCTCTTCAAGCCATACAACTTTTGTTTGAAACATTTCTTTTTAAAGTGCATAGTTTATGAAATATTCAACCGGGACTTTCGGGACACTCTGTATATTCAAATTAGCCAGCGATTTCTTTAACGCATTTCAATACTTGTCTATCATTTCTTGCATGTTTTTCTTCGTTTGAAAAGTTTCCTCAAGAACGGAATGAATCACTAGGATAGCATTAGCTACTTCATGCGATGCATGCAACATTTAGATACAGATCATTCAAGTTTATGCGAGCGCGTGTTATCAGGTTGAACTCAAGGTTCTTAAGTACGACAGATTGTTATCTCGCAGACATCGCCAAATAGCTTCGAACTTTCAAAGTTAAATTTCCATCGATATTCCGCTGGTCGAGGCTGGGAGGGGGAGGGGAAGAGGACATCTTAATAAGCGACAATTAATAACCGGGAGACAAGACGTACCATTGTGGGCCAACTTAACGACCTCCGACTGAATTAGACTGATGCCACCAAAGTTCGACTCGTGTACCCCTCTCTCTCTCTCTCTCTCTCTCTCTCTCTCTCTCTCTCTCTCTCTCTCTCTCTCTCTCTCTCTCTCTCTCTCTCTCTCTCTCTCTCTCTCTCTCTCTCTCTCTCTCTCTCTCCTCTCTCTCTCTCTCTCTCTCTCTCTCTCTCTCTTTCTCTTCCTCTCTCGGGGCGAACTTTTAATTGGCATCGTAAATAATTCGAAAACTTTGCGGACTTCCCTGCTTTCGTTACGGTGGCCTGAATACAGAATTAACTTGGCATTAAATTAATACGACTTTTGTTGAAGATGGAGATCGGTGGTACCCTCGTTCCTCATCCTTCTCTTCGCGTTCGCTGCATTATATACGTAGCGATTCAAACTTCCCAGTGTAATGTCTCCGAAATTAGTGACACAATCAGCCGACTGTACTACATTATCATTGTAGAATCTTCGTGGAAACACAAGTTGGGAGAAGTAACGAAAGATATCGAACGTGCGGCCAACTTTGCCTATCACTCGTCGAAGAATAAAAGAACGCGTTAATTTAACGAAAAAGTTTCTATCCTTTCGAGAGAATCCTTTTTATTTTATCGCATTCACCGATGCTTTTCTAAAACTGTTGTACACGATAGCGATTACTTTATTAAAGTTTTAGTTATGCTAATCGCCTCTTGCAACGCTCTATTGACGAATTAGCTTCTCTTGAACATCTGGACTTTACATCGCATCTTCTGTCACAGGCAAGCGACGAGGGCAGCTCTGGTGATTCAGAACAACTATCGAAATTACCGCGCGCGGCCAGGATCGACCAGCATCAGGCAACAGGCGGTCCATCAGCAGGCGGCTCATCAGGCCGCGCGGAAGATCCAGCAGTTCATGCGGCAATCCAAGATCAAGTTAGTATCCCCGTATGTGTGTGTGTACAGTGCTGCATTTCCTGTTGCAACGATGTGCACGCACATTAGTTACGTAGTAGAGACTTCTTGTTAGCACACGAAAGGCTTTATCGTACCGAAAAGAAAAGACAAGTTCTAAAAGTTCTAAAGTCTCCCTCTTCTGTGTGTCACTAATGCAGCTTGTCGTGGGACGATTCACGACCGGTAAGTAACGTATCTCATAGTAGGGCGATCGTTTCGGCAAAACAAGTGCTCGTTTATCTCTCGTTCCTGTCTCTTCTGTGCCGGAGGGAATTAAATGCTTTTGTCGTTACGTGTTTTCTTTTTCCTTCTCTACCTCTTTTTTTTTCTTCTTTCTTTTCCTCCCTTTCTCTGTCTTTCCGTTTTCGATTTGCACCCCTGTTTCACGACACACGAATTAACGAGTTACATGTCTATATATCGGGACCGTGCCTCACATCACGTTTGACGATGCTTCGTGTTTATTGTTTGAATGTCTCGTCGGTATTCATATTCTCTGTCTTTGTACAATGAAATCGTGTATTCGTCGCTTAATGACATAGAATTGCCGAGTTCCTCGATCATCACTTTGTCAGTAGATAAATATATCAAATGTATCGTATATTTATACGTGAATAATTGAAAAACTACACTGAGAAAAAAATCTGGTTGTATTAATTAGAATTCTGGTCGATTCAACCAGTATGTCTGTTGGAAAATGGTCGAAATAGAATTCTTGTAGGAATTATCAAATGAATCTGATTAATTTCTTTCTGTTAAATTTACCAAATTTTCTGATTAATAATACTAAACTCGCTAGCACCAAATCGTCTAAAATTTTTTCCATCTAATCTCAAAAGTCTGTTTAATATTCTGAATTTCAACAAGATTATTGGATAAATTCAGTTCAGATTATTGAATAAATTATTTTAAATTCAGTTTGTTAGAAATTAAACTGATAAACAGTGATGCAAGAAGAAGATGCAGCTCAAACACATACAATCAGAGAGCCAGTGTCCTCTTTCTGGCACTACTGCTCGTAAGAGAAAAAAAAATACATTGAAAAAAAATTTGGTTGCATTAATTAGAATTCTGGTCGATTCAACCAATATGTCTGTTGAAAAATGGTCGAAATAGAATTCTTGTAGGAATTATCAAATGAATCTGATTAATTTCTTCCTGTTAAATTTACCAAATTTTCTGATTAATAATTCTAAACTCGCCAGCACCAAGTCGTCTAAAATTTTTTCAATCTAATTTCAAAAGTCTGTTTAATATTTTCAATTCCAACAAGATTATTGGATAAATTCAATCCGGATTATTGAATAAATTATTTTAAATTCAGCGTCCTCTTTCTGGCACTACTGCTCGTAAGAGAAAAAAAATATACTTTCGGTTTAATGTCAATACTAGTTCTTTAGATACATTTTATTGCAAATATTATGAGTTAAGTTAAAAGTGGCTCGCCGCCTAACGGTAAGCAAAAAATTAATGTAACAGGAAATTTTATAGATCCAACCAGAAAATACTAACCAAATCCTTATAGTAAAATCTATTAAACGTTTTAGTTATAAAAAATCGAGTCTTATCATGATAACTAGAAATTCTTGTTTGATTTAACCAAAATGCCTTCAATCATATACCGTCTTTCTGGTACAATCAAACAATTTTTCTCAGTGTAGTATTTGTATTCCATCGTAGTTGCCTATTATAATTTTGCATAAATTCAAACGCGCATAGTTCCACGCGAGGAGAGAATTGAATCGAAATTCAATTATATTTATTTTTCGGCCCTCATCCATATTTATTTCGGTTAAATAAAAGAAACTCAATTTTTTCGAATTTAAAAATTCAATTCCCATACATATTGATCTAGAAATAATTCCGATCTGCAAGTTTACATATTTATTTTTTTCATTTGAAAGGTCGGTGCATTCGGCCAATAATATCCCGGGGGGGAGGGGGGGGGGATAAATCAATATTAATCGCACGTAACATTTGGGGTTGTCCGTTGACTCGGGTTGGCGTAAAGTGTTGAACGAGGAACGCGCTTAGATGTGACTGTTTGCCTCTGATTGATTACCGGTACAAAATTGCCTGATCATTCGGTGTCACGTATGCACTCACTATGCGCGAGCGATACGCCCGAATACGCGCATTTTATATAAACCCTACGTTTCTGTGCCTTGTGAATTAGACTGCAGAACGCCAGGGCCGTCGCAAACGGGAACGGGAGGCCGCCAGCGGCCACTTCACGGGCGGCTGCTGTCCCCCAAAGCTCGCCCTCATCTAGCCCAGGGGCCAGCCTAGCAGCCGCCAGCCAGGAGGTCACCTAGTTAACTGTCGATCCAACGGCGCGCAGAATGGCGACAGTTCGGTAGCGAAGTAACACGCACGGTCGGTGATGAGGAGACAAATAGGGAGAAAAAAAAAAAGAAAGAGAGCGACGACCACTCGAACCGTAGGCGTCGTGACGCTCTGAGAGGAGCATACCTCATCCTACGATCTCGAAGTGCGAGATCGTTAGCGACAATTACGACTACAACTACTAGAAAAAAAAAAAGACGGGTACCAGACGCTCACGACACGGATACGCTTTATTCTCTGCGTCTCTGATTTGCGTACCCAAAGTGGTTGACTTATCTATCTATCTATCTATCTATCTATCTTATCTATCGATCTATCTATCTATCTAAAGTCTTATCTCGTATAGTTTTGACCTTTTGTCCCTCACACTGATGAGTTAAGCACCTGGAGCACCGCATTTTACATCCTCGATCGCTCGTTCGTTTCGCTTGTACGTATCTTTACACTACTACCGCATTTTCTCCACACGCTCCTGTATCCTCCTCCGATCGACACGAGCCAGAATCGGAATAGCGTCGGATCAGATGAACCTATCGCGGGATGGATTTGCTCAAAATCCGTACGTGATCGATCGACTCGGCAGGCATACTTGTAGGATACACGGTTTTATCTTCTGCTTGTAACATGTAAGATTTATCGAGCGTGTCGCGTCTCTCTACGAGAAACGACGAGAAGTACGTCCGGCACGTACGTCGATTCCTTGCGACAGCATCGAAGTCGACGAACCGTTCCCGTGATATTTTATTGGCATACGTGCGCGCATGAATCGAGCTGAATCGCACAAAATCGTTGTCGCTTTCGTAGACTCAGATAGCTCGCGAGCTTCTTGCCACTGGTAGAGATTCTATCAATCCACGGATCTTTCTCAAACGAAATATTTCTTCGCGCGCGCACACACACGGGGCTCTTCGCAGCCGTCGACATATTTCTTCTTTCATGACAGACCAGTCGAAATCTTTTGAAATTCGAAAAATCTTTTTGGGAATAAGGAGTGCATAAATTTTGATCGAATTTTGTATGTTTACAGTTTTAAAAATTAAATGTCGTGTCCGCTCTATGTTGCAATTTACATTGAATCCGTATTAAAAAAATTAGATTAATGAATCCCGATATCGTAATTTAGAGTAATAAATCTCGATATCGTAATTTTTACATTACAAGTAAATATATATAAATACTTTAAAAATAAAGACAATCAGTTAAAAGTTTTTCTTTGTCCGGAGAATTTTGTTGACGCGTGTCAATTATCGTAGCGTTATACTGTTTACGTCGGAATAGTTTTTATCACGAAGAAATATTCGAGCAAAGATTGTTTTTTCCGATGCGATGGCATTCACCGATCACCAATGTAATTTCACTTGCAGTAGAGAATAATCTATTCCCTTTTATTAATACTCTTTTATCAATTTTTGCTCTCGAGTTTATTCCTATAATTGACTTGTAGACGAAGCTGTGGCTGGAATTGTATCGATGAAAAAGCAGGGACTGGAAAGAAAAAGAGGAGAAAAGCGAACTTGAAGTTCTCCGAACTTATTTTATACGTTTATTCGCACATGTTAGGCTTCGAAATCGGTTGACGATGATGGATGATTGAGCGAACAAAAAAAGTGGCATGAAATCGAGTCTAGAAATAATAGTGGATTATATTTTATAGCGAGACGAATAAAAAAAAAATAAGACTTGAACGCATGTAGGGCGAAGGTAAAAATCTGAGTATTTGGAATTACGAATTGGGACACAATTAGTGTATTGACGCTTTACAAGATTAGGTTTTTCATTTTCGATCGGTATTATCTGTCTGCGTCCATTTTTTATATTTTTACGAGAAACATAGTAATTAAATTTATAAGTGCTTCGTACGAAGCTGAACATCGCATTTTTCTTATCGTTCAGCTATATCATAATCGTGATATAATGCAGCGTCGAGAATCCATTGTACATATTAGGTGCGAAAATACTGACGTTCATTACGTCGCAGGAAACCGGTATCTTTCGTGTACGAAATTCATTTTGCTCGAGACACGAAAAGGTGAACGAAAAAAAAAAATCTATACTTTGATTTTAGAGAATTTTAGAAAAGGAGCGAGAGAGGAAAAATGGGGGAGAAACGGGACGAGGAGAAAGCGGCGGTACCACACACGAACGAGGTAGCTACTAGAGGTGAAGGGGAAGGAGTCGAGAAGAATTTAAAACAAGAGAAAATAGAGAAAAGAGGAAAAAAAAATTGAACAGGCCCTTTGTCGAAAGGGTGCAACTTCATCCACGGGCTGTGCTAGTCACAGTATAATCAACTTTGTAGAGTTACTTTATAGAATGTAAGCTAGTCGATTACACATTGTTACAAAAACTACCTACCGTTTCTCTCTCCGATAGGGGATTTTTTTAAAGGTTCTCTAGCGTAAGATAATTAGCGATTAATTAAGGGCGTAGTTGATTGCGGTTCGCGCGCGACTTGTCCCGCGTTCAAAGTCTTTGATCGAGAGGACAAGCGTTTATTGTGATAAATTAATGGTGATCCAAGAAAGTATTTCCGCGCAATGGGGGACAGGAAGAAACGGAGAAGAGGAGGAAACAAAAAATGGAAAGGGGGAAAAGAAGACGGACACGTTTCCATGTGTACGTGGCACGCGACGATTCTCGCTGAGATACGTGAGAGACGGAGATAGACAGACGGACGGACGAAGATCCGAGCAGCCAAACGTATGAATGGCGAATCGAGAGATTATCGCCGCGCGATCTATATCTGTCAGAGGAGTCTCTGTGTGCGTCGCAAACCAATGGGGGCGAACTGCGAATTCGAATTGCCGAATTTCTCCGGGAGAGTAATTAATCCATATCGACCCTCTCCTCTTGGGGTATATTACGCAGAATCACAGCAGGTTGTGAGAATTTAATAGTGCGACGTAGGATGCAAAGCGCGCGAGGCGGGATATTATTGCAATATATATAATATAAATACATACATATATATATATATATACGTACATGTGTGTGTGTGTATTTACATGTATATTGTACACACGAGTCAATTCCAACGAGCATTTTCATGCCATTAAGCTTAAAAAGTTATTAGTTATTAAAATGATGAGAGAGAGAGAGGTGTGCGCGCGGAAAGGGCGGGGTGAGACGAGGAAAGCGGGGGAGGGAGAGAGGAGGAAGGATAACAAATTCTTACACTCTTTTAATCATTGTTAATTAATTAAAATAATCACGATCCTATCGAAATACTTAAACAAAAAATGAGTAAAATAATATAATTATTATATACACAAAACTATTATATATATACATATATATATATATATTCATATTTTTGCTTATTACATATTTAAGAATCTAATTATAAATAAGTGCTAGCGATTATAAGCGTAGCGGGCACGAGAGCATTGACAATGAGACGCGATTACGACGAGGGACAAAGTCTCGAGATACGGATACTTCGGATCAGTCGGGCTTGTCGTTGTGCGTGGCAATCCCAGACAGCACAAAATGGCCGAAAGATGTCTCAAAGATGTCTCTAAAGGACTTTAAGACGTCTTTAAGATCATCTTTTTGATGTCTTTTGGACACGTGTGCTGTCTGGGAATTTAGACATTTCGAATTCGTGGATAAAAAAAGAAATGGACGAGAAGAATCGGCGATCTCGGCGCGCGGTCTCGGCGAAAGAGGACGAGGCCCCCGGTGCAAATTCGCCGGGGGCAGAATGCACTGTCGCTATTCCGGGGTTTCCACGAGACAAGTCGAATACAGTATTTTTTACCCGTGGAACGGCGGACAGAGGGGTGGCCGACACCGCGCGAATTTCCCACAGTTTCGCCATTGCTCCGTATTCGCATCAATTAACCACGTACAGGACGGACCCAGCTAAGCGGGGTACTCGTTTGGGCTGAAGATCGGCGGAAAAGGGGTAGGAGGGAGGGAGGGAGGCCGCTGAAAAAAAATAATCTTAATTAAAAAGACATCGCTAGGGTAGGCGCTTCGAAGAATACATTAAACTTTAAAAAAAAAAATAAAAGTCATTTAATACAAATTATTCTCAAAATATAAAGAGGTTTAATAAAAAAGAAAAAGAGAAAAAAAGTAAAGAAGAAAAATTTTTAAATTCTACGTAAGAAAGCCAAGAGTCAAAGACGACTAGATGATAGGAGCCGCATGGCCTAACTGCTGCCACTTTAATTAATTAATTAAATAATTAATTATAACTTTATTACTTAATTAATATCTCGATACAACACAGATGGGAAATGATAAAATGAAAAAAAAAGAAGGAAGGAGAAGAGGAGGAAGAGGAAGAAATCTATAACACTACAAACACACTATCTCATGCCACTTTTCAAACTACTCTCTAGACGCAGAGACGAATCAGTAGGTATATATTTAATAGCGGACTATTAAGCAAAGAGATAAAAAAGAAAAAACTAAAGAAGAATTAATTTCTCTCCTTGAAAAAAATGGAAAAAAAAATTCAGGAAACGAGATCGAGATTCGCGCGAGATATTTCCAATTGTCCAAGTCTCCGGAATCGCACGAAGAAATTTTCGCGAGCCCGCCGGATATTCTCGCCGCGTCCCGCCAAATCGCGCTCGTCTCGAGAGAGAGAGAGAGAGAGAGAGAGATAGCGTCTCCGGAATTCTCCGAAGGGAGACCGGAAGTACGCTTCGACAAAACGGAAAATCGAGATTTCGAGAGCGGGTGGAGGGGGAGAGGGGGAGGGGGGCGACGCGCGTCGGCTCGCGACGCGTATATCTCGCCGATATAAATATATATATTCTCGCGGAAGCTCTCCTTCCGTATATTTTTTACAAAATGAAAAGAAAGGGAAAAAAAAACGCGAAAAAAAAAAAAATCTGGCACGCGGTTCATCCGGGGCTTATCGCGCGCGCGTCCGCCCCCCCTCCCCCCCCCGAACCCCCGATCCCCTCGACGACGACGCGATGCGGCGAGGGTTGCCTGAGAGGGAAACGGCGAGGGCGCGGGCTGGCAAACTCGATGTCGAAAGGGTCGAAACGATCGGGTCGATGCCCCGTCGATGTTCAGATACAGACACGGAGACACAGAGAGGAACACGCAGAGTGTCACCCGGTAACGTGTACAGGAGGAGTTACGGTGATTATCCAGGATCATGCGCAAGATACACACACATACACACACACACACACGTACACACGCACGCACGCACACTGAGAGAAAAATTATCTTGAAGTAAAAAAATTTTGGTTAACTCAAGAAAGCTTCGGTGGGTACTAATCACGTATTTACTTGTATTCAAAACGTCTGTTTGCTGAAGTTAAGTATTTATTTACATATGTTTAAAAAAATATATATATATACTTAAAAAAATATAATTTTTAATTAAATATTTTTATTTTAATTTTGTCAAAATATTTATTAAAATGCATTTTTTATTCCAAAAAATTTTAAATTTTTTAATCTTAAAAAATAATATGTTTAATTTAATAAATTACATTAATAAATTTTAATTTAATTAATTAGTATATATTTTACGGAAATAATATTTAAATATAAAAAATGTATAAATAAAAATAATGTACTTAATATAACGTGCATATTTAATTAAAATTAAATGCTTTTGCTTAAATGAAATAAACAATTCCTTCCATTTAGAAGCAAAAGTTTCAAGAAAACGAATTTATTTGATTCGACAAAATTTTTCCCTCAGTGCACGTATAGCGGAGAGAGAGGGTGAGAGAATTATGTATAAATACAGCAATTTATGCAGAGAATCACACGTGGGTACACACACACACAGATATACACACACACAGATATACACGTATATAGAATACAATTATAAAGACCCCAGAGACACGCATTGTTCCTTCGTCGAGACGGTCACTTTGTACCTGCTTGCTGCCTGCCTGATCCTGACACACGACGCAACTTGTAGTCTCGCGTGGCGGCGTTACAACTTGTAAACACCCTACAAAACACACACACACATACACACACACATGCGCACACAACCCCTCTTTTACTCGACTCGATTGATAACGTCCAAGTATGCTGCGAGTACTTTCGTTGTGATAATCCGATCTGCGCGATGCGGGGATCACTCGCTCGCGAGAACGTCGAGAATCGAGCTGTTTTGCCATTCGTTGTTCAGTCCTGTCGTCGATTTTTTTTCGCGATAGGAAGAGAGAGAGAGAGAGAGAGAGAGAGAGAGAGAGAGAAAGAAAGAGTGCAAGAGAGAGAAGGAGGGAGAGCGCGATTCTCTCCCCCGGAATGATGATGTGAGATGGTTTCGACGGCTGTTTCGACATCAATCCGCTTTAAAGCGACCGTTTCCGCGTTCCAAAATTCAAACGATCGCGCGGATTTGCTCGCAAGGGTATCTAAATTTATCGATTTCGCACCCGTGACATCAATCGAGAGTTTTGGAACGAGGAAGATGGCGATGTATGGGGCACGTACGTGCTAGATTTTACTAGTGAAAACGAATAACGGCAAGGCTCCATCTCTCTTGTAATATTTTTATTATCGCAAGCGTATAATATATTATATATATATATATATATATATATATATATACATATATATATATATATAAATATATATATATACATATATATACATATATATATATATATATATATACATACATATATATATATATATATATAATTAAATTATATATTATTAAAATAAAGGGATTATGCCACTGTTTATTATTTATTGACTAACGTTCGACTAATATTGTAAATAATAACGAAAATATTTTATCTATATTTCCGATCTCCGGGAGGGCGCCGGGCGGGGGCGGCGTATTATCTCTTGTCCGTCTTCGCGGCGTCCAACACCGGTCGCCGTTTCGCCCGCCCCTCTATTGTTACACCATTTCATCATTGCATTTAATAAATTATATATTTATTGACTCACTCACCTTTTCAATTGCAACCATTCCCTCTCTCCGAGCAGTCGTCCTTTCCCTTACACCTCTTCCGAATATTTAGACAATATCGCCAGCTTTAGATATAATTACATCGCTACACTGAGAAAAAAATCTGATTGCATTAATTAGAATTCTGGTAGATTCAACCAGTATGTCTGTTGGAAAATGGACGAACCAGAATTTTTGTAGGAATTACCAGATGAATCTGATTAATTTCTTCCTGTTAAATTTATCAAATTTTCTGGTTAAAATCATCTAAAATTTTTTCAATCTCAAAAATCTGTTTAATATTTTGAATTCCAACAAGATTATTGGATAAATTCAATCCAGATTATTGAATAAATGATTTTAAATTCAATTTGTTAGAAATTAAACTGATAAACAGTAATGCAAGAAGAGGATACAGCTCAAACACACGCAATCAGAGAGCTAGCGTCCTCTTTCTGGCACTACTGCTCGTAAGAGAAAAAAAATACACTGAGAAAAAAATCTGGCTGCATTAATTAGAATTCTGGTAGATTCAACCAGTATGTCTGTTGGAAAATGGACGAACCAGAATTTTTGTAGGAATTACCAGATGAATCTGATTAATTTCTTCCTGTTAAATTTATCAAATTTTCTGGTTAATAATACTAAACGCTCCAGCACCAAGTCGTCTAAAATTTTTTCAATCTAATCTCAAAAGTCTGTTTAATATTTTGAATTCCAATAAGATTATTAGATAAATTCAATCCAGATTATTAAATAAATGATTTTAAATTCAATCTATTAGAAATTAAATTGATAAACAGTGGTGCAAGAAGAGGATACAGCTCAAACACACGCAATCAGAGAGCTAGCGTCCTCTTTCTGGCACTACTGCTCGTAAGAGAAAAAAAAATACACCGAGAAAAAAATTTGGTTGCATTAATTAGAATTCTGGTAGGTTCAACCAGTATGTCTGTTGGAAAATGGACGAATCAGAATTTTCGTAGGAATTATCAGATAAATCTGATTAATTTCTTCCTGTTAAATTTATCAAATTTTCTGGTTAATAATACTAAACTCTCCAGCACCAAGTCGTCTAAAATTTTTTCAATCTAATCTCAAAAGTCTGTTTAATATTTTGAATTCCAACAAGATTATTAGATAAATTCAATCCAGATTATTAATAAATATATTTTAAATTCAGTTATAAAAATAAATTCAGTTATAAAAATAAATTCAGTTATAAAAATATATTTTAAATTCAGAATAAATTATTTTAAATTCAGTTTGTTAGAAATTAAACTGATAAACAGTGATGCAAGAAGAGGATGCAGCTCAAACACACACAATCAGAGAGCTAATGTCCTCTTTCTGACACTACTGCTCGTAAGAGAAAAATATATACTTTGGATTTAATGTTAATACTAGTTTTTATATACAATTCATGGCAAATATTGAATACGAGTAAAGTTAAGAGTGGCTCGCAAAGAAATTAATGTAACAAGAAATTTTATAGATCCAACCAGAAAATATTAACCAAATCCTTATAGTAAAATCTATTAAATGTTCTAGTTATAAAAAATCTAGTCTTATCATGATAACTAAAAATTCTTGTTTGATTTAACAAAAATGCCTTCAGTTATATATGTCTTGTTGGTACAATCAAACGATTTTTCTCAGTGTAATGTTCGAGTCGTTTATAAGTTCGAGAATATTTATAAAGCAATATATAAAAAAGAGAGCAGTAGAAATAAATTCTTTAGTAAATTATAAATAACAACTTTATATCTTTCTCTCTTGATACTTTGTTAAAATGCTTGATAAATAGAAGAATAAATCTAAGTTATGTTTGTCAATAATTTCCTAGCTAATCAATTTGCAATAAAATACTGATTGCGAGCTAATTTAATATAAAGTGTCGAATGTAGTTGCGTCTAAACTGGATAGTAACACAATTATGGCGAGTTAAGGAATACCCAGGCGAGTAATGATCTTAGGTCGCTCAAGTCACTTGTAGAGTTTCTATTGAAGCTCAAAGTTCCAGTTCCAACTGTTCGTCGAGGGGAACGCCGAAGGGAAGGACTTCGTGAACCGCTAAATTTAACGATCTTATTCATAGAACGGAATTAATAATCCTTTCTCGTTTTGCCTGACGTTTCAAGTGCAGCTCGTAGCAAGAACGCGCGAATAAGTAATATATTGCGACGGAAATGGTTCCGAAGGGACGGAGATAAGTAGTTCAGGTGAAATTTACTTACCGCCTTCCTCTCTTCCGCAACAGTTTATTTAAAGCATACAAACGGTACAAACTTGACTCGCTCTGTCGCTCTGAGTACAAATTAAATTAGGTCGCTCGATTATCGCGCTCGTGTACGAAAAGAAGAGATAACCGTGAGAGAAGGAGAATTAGAGAGAGTGAGGGATACGGATAAGAAAAAGTACGTATTTTCGAAAGCTGCCGAGCGGAGGAAATCGACCGACGTCCAAGATTTTACCTCGTAAATTCGAACCAAACTCGCTGGCGAGCGAGGGGGTCCGATTCCACTTATTCATTGTTGTGCTCATCGATATGATTGCCTTCGCAGATTTTTTTCCTTCTTGCTATTCTCTCTATCGTCCCGATATTTCCTTCATCCAATAGTACTTTGAATGTAATATTTATTGGAACGAAGAACAAACGATCGCAATAAATCGCAAAAAAGCCGCTGACGAAAGTAGAAATGGAAATTGGTCTCTTTGGAAAATTTTGACGATAAAGAAATCAGCTTGAGGAACAGAAAAAAATATTTACCGTTTTCTATTCTGTTAATTTCGTCTACATTAATTGTCTACAGTGTAAAAAAAGAACAGATTGAAAAAGAAAGCAGTTTATTAATTAAATTTAAACATTTCACTTAAAATCAAAATCTCATTTATTTTTCATGGCAGAAATTCAGTTTTGCATCAAAATTGGCGAAGACAAAGTGGTGAGTTTCGTTAATATAAACTCTTAACGCTAATAACTAAATTTAGGATTTAACGCGAATCAAACAGCTCTTAATTATTTACTATACAATAAAAAATAAAGCCATTTAATCAGCGACAATAGATCTTGTTTGCATCAAAAATGATTTCCGCTAATATATTTTCGTTTTCTTTGTATTTTACTACAAGTACGAGCGGGCGATACATTTATTTCCAGACGATGAGAGTTATTTCAGACAATAGAAAGCAAATGTAAGATTCACGTGAAAGTTTCCCAATGAAGAAAGAATAGTATAAATAATACTTCAATTATAATATACTTTTTAATGAAACAAGCTATAATGACATCTCACTCCCGATTTATCGATGAATTTGTTAGGATATTTTTGCAGAATATCTTTAAAGTTGCTAAATTGGAAAATTTTCTAATTCGCGATATTGCTCTTTGCATATTTTTCAGAACAATACGTATAAACGGCATAAGAAATTAATAATATTCCAGGATATTGAAATATTTTTATCGTGTCTTATTTCTTAATTTTTCTACCTTTCATTATTATTTTTGTTAAATGAATTTATTATTAATTTTTGTTAGTTAGACATATTTCCCAGATAAAAAAGTCACAACGATGCGAATATTTAAAATCATCGAAATCTGCTCTCTAAAAGTGAATCAGTGTATTATCACTGAAAACCAGTAAATAGTCACTGATTACAGCAGTTATAAGTACAGCAGGTATAAGTACAGCACTGTAAATCTCAGTGATCTTTTATTGAAAGAATCAATTAATAATTTTGACTGTTTCAATCAGTAATATTTCTCAATATTAGTAATATTTCTTTCGTTATTGACAGTAATATTTAACTATAATTCATCTCTCTATCTATTTCATATAAAATTAAAAATTTTATTTATATTTATTAAATATTTATTATATTAAAAATTTTATTTTATTTATATTACATGCATATTGAACTTGTTATTTTAAATAGATAACGAACAAATAATTTTCATTAAGTCGCCAGACATTTATTTGTCCGACTTATAAAGATCGATTTAATATCTGAAGCCTCTCTATTGAGCTTGTATCAGAAATTAAATCGAAGTAATACTTCTAATTTTAAATGTCGCTCTTTGCAAACTTTATATAATTCTTATAACTAAAATTAAATATGAGAAAAATAGCGATTGTAGCGGTAATGAACTAACGATTACTGGTTTTACAGTAAAATTTACTGATTTTACGGTGAATTTTATTTTAACTGACCATAATCAGTGAGATATAAGATAAAATAACAAAAAAATAAGCGTTTCCACTGAAGATCAGTAAAATACTCACTGATTCTCAGTGAAATCTTATTTTACTGTTTAAATTAGTGATATTTTCACTGATTCACTTTTAGAGAGCGACTCCTGAGATACTCATAGACGTCGATTCCGAATATCCACCTAACACGACGTATTTGCATTGCCCGGATATACATTCGCTTTTACTCGCTCATCATTAACGATATTAATAAACGCGAATATCATAAATTGGCGCGTATCCGTTTTGGCAAAAGAGCAGAGAGCTCGCGATTTCTCCGACGTTACATCAACAAAATGGCCGACAAAGTCGGTCAGAATACTTGGACCCGGTGATTCTCGCGGTCGCAGACGACGATGTTGCCGGTGGAGGTGACGGCGACGCCCTCGAGGCCCTTGAACTCGCCGTCACCGCTGCCCCAGCAGCCGTAGGACTTGAGGAAGGTGCCGTCCGGACTGAAGATCTGTATGCGATTGTTGCCGGAATCGGCGACGACGATATAGCCCTGGTCGTCGACGGCGACGCCCCGCGGGAACTTGAACTGACCGTCGTCCGAGCCCTCCGAGCCGAAGGATGTCAGGACGCGGCCGTTGACGTCGAATATCTGGACGCGGTGATTGTTGCCGTCGCTGACAATCACTCGGTTCGTGTTGCTCACCGCGATGTAATGCGGGTGCTCCAATTGGCCGCGTCCACCCCCGCACGAACCGAACTTGCCCACGAACGTGCCGTCCGATTGAAATACCTGTCAAGGTGACACATCCAGTGTTACTATACAGAGTGTCCCGAAAGTCCCGGACCGGTCGAATATTTCATAAACTATGCACTTTAGAAAGAAATGTTTCAAACAAAAGTTGTATGGCTTGAAGAGGGCCATCAGATAGTGGCAATGATTTGACATGGGAGAGTCATTTGAAAGTCACGTGAAGATCATCGTCAATTTCTTAAACGCAACTCCCTATTTTTTATTACATATTCGTGTAGCTTATCTCGAGAGCTTTCCAAAACACTATAATAAAGTATTTTTTTCATTGAGTACTTTTCAAGTTATGAGGCTTGAAATCATTTCTTAATTTTACATAAACCGTAAAATATCTTGTAAAATATTCATTTTTCGATCATCTTATCTTAATACTTTTATGTACAAAATAATGAGAGGAATCAATTGGTGTAAAGAAAAAACATAGTTGTTTTTAAGAAAAAAATATATTATTTGCAATTAACAATTACATATTTTTTTTAAAACAACAATGTGTTTTCTTTACACCAATTGATTCCTCTCATTATTTTGTACATAAAAGTATTAAGGTAAGATAATCGAAAAATGAATATTTTACTAGATATTTTATGGTTTATGCAAAATTAAGAAATGACTTCAAGCCTCATAACTCGAAAAGTACTCAATAAAGAAATACTTTATTATAGTGTTTTGAAAAGCTCTCGAGATAAGCGAATATGTAATAAAAAATAGAGGGTTCCATTTAAGAAATTGACGGTGATCTTCACGTGACTTTCAAATGACTCTCCCATGTCAAATCATTGCCACTATGTGATGGCTCCCATCAAGCCATACAACTTTTGTTTGAAACATTTCTTTCTAAAGTGCATAGTTTATGAAATATTCGATCGGTCCAGGACTTTTGGAACACTCTGTATATGTACTGTATAGCGTAAAATACGATGCTGTTAGTAGGAAACGCAATTACTTTCGATAAAGTCGTACATACGCGACACAGGATGTTTCGATAAAGATGGGCAATCTCTCTCGCAGTGCGGATAAAAATAAACGCGAATGTTTCTATAAATTTTTTTCTACGACGTACCTCTATCGAAATATATGTAAGGTCTTTAAAATTAAGATTTGAAAGAAGATTTTCTTGAAATCATTTTTATATCATTCTGTAGATTTTGATAATTTGTAGTCATTATTTTTAAGTAACCGGGTCTTTAAAATATATAGCGTGATGGATTTTATATTACTTAGAAATCTTCTCTCTTACAAAATTTTGAAGATAAGTTTCTTTCATATTTTTAAATATATTTAAACAATTTTTTTCTCCATATGTTTTTCTAAAAAAGAGTACTTTTGATTTTTATTTCATCAAAACTAACTGTATTTGAAAATTAACTGTCTTATGGGGAGAACAAATTTAATTAATAGAAAGAAGAAGATGATAAAAGATGCGTTGTAGGAAAAAATACAAGGTACAAGGATTTATTTTTATTTGTTTATGTTCACGCAAGATAATCATAATTTACTGAAACACCCTGTATTTCATCATCATACCGAATACATTATCAATAACAATGAAAAGAGAAAAACTCGTACTAAAAAAAATCAAAAAAATCAGCATGTTCGATCTTGCCAAGAATCAACGGTTTATCGAAAGTTGATTGATTAAGGACGATGTAAGGAGCGCACCTGTACGCGATGATTCTCCTTGTCGCATACGTAGATGAATCCGAGGGCGTCGGTGGTGATGCCCCAAGGATAATTGAACCGGCCGTCGGCGGTGCCCTGGGAGCCAAAGGCTCGCAAGAAACGGCCGGACGGATCGAGCACCTGGATCCTGTGGTTGTAGCGGTCCGCGATGATGTACTGCCCGATCCTGTTTACGGCCACCCCGGCGAGGCAATCGAATTCGCCCTCGCCGCTGCCGTACGTTCCGAACTCCTTCATGAAGTTTCCATTACCGTCAAATACCTGCGATACAAGCGTCGTTTATATCGATCACGCGCCGATATTAAAATCGGCCGTTCGCGGCCAACCGCAATATAACGCGTCCTGGGAGAGGAGACCTCTCTCTCCCTCGTTCACCTGCCGCGCAGTCGAAGCTGGCTTATTTATGATCGCCGATACGCCGATACGTGTACATAAATGCCTATGAAATTTTGAAACCTTCGTACCTTACGGATGTATACGAGGTAACTGTTACGTCGCTTCGAAAACGATGCAATTGATATATCGAGGCTCTTGTTAATTGTTAATGTTAGTTTATATTTTTCTAACATCTTCGAGAGATGAAATAACAGTTTTTAAAATGTCTTACAATTAAAACTTTTCCTAATAAAAATTCCTTTTCAAACAATTAAAAGAGATTTTAATAAATTAAAAAGATTTTCAAATAATTATTAATTTAAAATAATTATTGATTTAATATTATATACAATTAATTTATCGAGGCTCTTGTTAGTTGTTAATATTAGTTTGTATTTTTCTGACATCTTCGAGAGACGAAATAACAGTTTTTAAAATGTCTTACAATTAAAACTTTTCCTAATAAAAATTCCTTTTCAAACAATTAAAAGAGATTTTAATAAATTAAAAAGGTTTTCAAATAATTATTAATCTAAAATAATTATTGATTTAATATTATATATAATTAATTTATCGAGGCTCTTGTTAGTTATTAATATTAGTTTATATTTTTCTAACATCTTCGAGAGACGAAATAACAGTTTTTAAAATTTCTTACAATTAAAACTTTTCCTAATAAAAATTCCTTTTCACACAATTAAAAGAGATTTTAATAAATTAAAATGGTTTTCAAATAATTATTAATTTAAAATAATTATTGATTTAATATTATATACAATTGATTTATCGAGACTCTTGTTAATTGTTAATATTAGTTTGTATTTTCCTAACATCTTCGAGAGACGAAATAACAGTTTTTAAAATTTTTTACAATTAAAACTTTTCCTAATAAAAATTCCTTTTCGAACAATTAAAAGAGATTTTAATAAATTAAAAAGGTTTTTAAATAATTATTAATTTAAAATAATTATTGATTTAATATTATATACAATTAATTTATCGAGGCTCTTGTTAGTTGTTAATATTAGTTTGTATTTTTTTAACATCTTCGAGAGACGAAATAACAGTTTTTAAAATTTCTTACAATTAAAACTTTTCCGAATAAAAATTCCTTTTCAAACAATTAAAAGAAATTTTAATAAATTAAAAAAATTTTTAAATAATTATTAATATAAAATAATTATTGATTTAATATTATATTACAATTGATTTATCGAGGTTCTTGTTACTTGTTAATATTAGTTTGTATTTTTCTAACATCTTCGAGAGACGAAATAATAGTTTTTAAAATTTCTTACAATTAAAACTTTTTCTAATAAAAATTCCTTTTCAAACAATTAAAAGAGGTTTTAATAAATTATAAAGATTTTAAAATAATTATTAATTTAAAATAATTATTGATTTAATATGATACAATTGATTTATCGAGATTCGTGTTAATTGTTAATATTAGTTTGTATTTCCCTAACATTTTCGAAAGACGGAATAACATAGTTTTTAAAATTTCCTAGGATTAAAATTCTTTTTCTAATAAAAATTTCTTTTGAAACAATTAAAAGAGATTTTAATAAATAAGAGAAATTTTCAAATAATTATCAATTCAGTTAATTCAAAATTCTTACGATTAAAATTCTTTTTCGAATAAAAATTCCTTTTGAAACAAAAGAGATCTTAATAAGTAACAAGTAATTAAATATTATCAATAAATAATCTTAATAAAAGAGATTTTCAAATAATTATCAATTCAATCATACGTGAGAGATTTCAATTGTCTCGTTTAGATTCAAATATAATCGCGGATGAATTTTGTAAAGAGTGACTTACTTGAATACGATGATTGGAGCTGTCGGCCACGACGATGGAGTTGTCCGGGCCGACTGCGAGGCCTCTCGGCCAGGTAAAACATCCGGCTTCGCTCCCCCGCATCCCGAACTTAAACAGCTGCCGCCGCTTCAGCAAGTAATGACTCCTCCGACCATTGCTGGAATCGAACGATCGGGGGAAGCGGTCAATAAAGCTCATTACGCGGATTCCCAATCTTCCCGCGATCATAAATCACTTCGATCCCTCCCGACCCTTTCCCTCTCACCCTCTCTCGATCGGAGGGGAATTCCTCGCGGCCACATGGTCAGTTATGTAATTACGCGCTAAATCTACGCGATCAATTTAATAATACTTTATCCGTGATTCTTATCGAAGCCTCCTCTTGTCCATCGGGAGAGATTTACGCGAAGAGGCAAACTCGGATATAGGGTTCTCCGTACATCCTCATTTCGCGTCGCCGTTCTTAAAAGAACTGTACTTTCGCAAAATCCACTTTTCAGAAGGAACTCGCTGTTTCACTCCGGCGGAAGAAGCAGCGGTAGATCTTCGAGAATTATAGCCGCGCGAGGAGGGGATCCGGTTGCGGCGCAACGGATAACGAGGATAAAGTATTTTGTGATTGCGATACCCTGGCTCTGGATACGTCCAGCTTCCGACTCTACCTTCATTCTATGGCGTATATTTGGAAAGTTGCAAGTTCTTTTAACGATCGTAGCGCGCGTCCGCGTACTTTTCTTTCCGAAAGTGCGAAAACTCGCTACGCCCTCGGGATGTCGTGCGAGAAAAACGTAGACGCGACGTCGTTCATTTCCTACGTAAATTCGCAAAGTAAATAAAGAATTTCTCGAGCGGAGTTGTGAGGCGTTTTGTCTATAAATTTTTCCGTTAAGAAAAAACTTACAAAAAAGCGTCGAAAAATATCAATTTAAGGACGTTTTGTATGTACAATCCCAGCAAAAAGTAGCTGAAAATCAATATTGACGAATATATCCACTTTTGATGTATTTTGAGTATGAGAAATTGTGTGGAATATTACAATTGATCTTAGCTACAGTGCAGAGATGTATTTTTTAATATTTATTGCGTTTTTACTGAAATATTCCGAATTTTGTTAATCGAAATGATTAACTTTTGGCAGAGAATTTTTTTAAAGAAGATAAATAATGATAGTTTAATAAAAAATATCAAATTTAAATATTATTACAATAATTATAAAAGTAATTATAATTATAAAAAAAAATTACAATAATTATAATTATAAAAATTATTACAATAATTTTCCTAGATAAGCATCCATCTTGTAGGAAATTTCTCTGTGATGCAAAGTTATTTCTGCGAGAGTGAAATAATTCCAACGCGTATGCATTCAACACTTACAATTGACAAGTGACAGATAATTAAATGTACAATTCTAATTAAGGATATATTGGACGGACGAAAAAATTAAAGTTGGGCAGAATACGAATTGATCAAAAACTTTTTAAAAATCATGAAATCGTACTTCAAATTATTCTTTAATATAAATAGGTCTTAATTTCCAAGAAAATATTGCCACGTTTTATCATCAATATTGCGTCAAACCGATAATCACAGTTATTTTTTAATAATAATTTCAAAACGAGCAAATAAATCGTTTTAAAACTTTGTGGGAACATTTTTACATGTATGAAGAATATAATATTAGAAAATGAAATTTTTATCATTGTTTTCTTATAGTTCTTATAATTTATTACCTGTCTCTTGAACGTTTACATAAGATCCTATGTTAAAATCGCAAAATTCAAAAATTATTAACTTTTAAAGGAGCAAGTAAAAAAATTTGAAATAATTCATGATGATTTAGAATATTATTAAGAATGTTAAATTAAAAATTCACGGCGATCTCATTGATTGTAATATATCTCCAATACATCCTTAATTGAAATGATTAACTTTTGGCAGAAAATTTCGCCTTGTGACAGATACATGGCTAACTTCATTGAATTGTATTTATATCTTTTTAACCAGTTAGTACTTGTATAATATTATTTGGCCAAATATTTTGTCTGTATCTAAACTTTTGCAAATTTTCAACAAATTCTGAATATTATTTCCATGTGTTTTTGTCATTTGAACGTCATTTGATCGATGTGGTTATACGTTTCTCATAAGAACATATGTTAATTCGGTGCAAATTAAAATCCTTGTGAACGCTTTAGTGAATTGATTTAAAAATTGTACTGAAGATTCTATACATATGTAAGGACATTCTGTACAATTTTCATTAAATTCTCAATATTTTGAAAATAGGTACAAAACATCCTTAAAAGAGATTATTTCCTTTTTTTGCCTTTATAGGATGTTTCTTAATAAATGCGAAAAATTTTAAGAGATTCTTTGTGAAAAATTAAGGGGAGTTTTTCATAACATTTAAACATATACTCCTACATCCCTCTCTGTGGAGTTACACTTCTCCAAAAATAGGAATAAAAATTAGGTTCTTATTTTTTTCTCAAATTTGAAACAAGTTAAAGAAATGAAATTAGGTGAAAATTTTCTACTAGTAAAAAGGTTATTTATTAATATTTTTGTCAGCCTCTCGTAATGTTATAAGAGGATGAAACTAGCAACCCTTATTCAATTTTTTATTAGCACTTTTTAATGTTTAGATGAAAAAATCTCCCTTAATTTTCGACAAAGAATCATCTAAAATTTTTCGTACTTATTAAGAAACATGTATATAACATATCACGATTATATAGGCATAACGATTTGAGATTTGTCTTCGTGCGAAAATATAACGCGACTATAAAACTCACCTAGTGGAGGAACCTGCTGCCGCGGGTGTAACGGGAGCTGCTGTAGGGGACGTGGGGGAGCCTGACGGGTTTTTTTGGTCGTCGTCAGAAGATTCGAAGGATGTTTGCCCGGTGTGCCTCAAAGGCAAGCCCAACGATAACCTTCTCGAGGCCGCGCTAGAGCTGCGTGAAAATGATTTCAAAGGTTTCAAGAAATTACAATAGAAAATTAATTTCACTTAGGTAATAATTGAATTGTCATTTTAAATAAAGTCTTTCATATTATTGATATCAAAAGAGCTTCGTAATAATTCAGCGTGATGTGTAAATATGTAAATATGATTGATATGTAAATTTAATACGATTTGTAAATATATGGTGTTGCCAATATTAGCTAATATATACAGATTCTAATGCGCGTATAATATTCCGAATCATCGCGTACAACGATAGGATTAAAGCTTAGTTCAACATGATATCGTGATATCCGATTTATCTGATTTATTTCACTATGAAAAATAGAAAATAAATTAATATACATATATCTCCCATGAGGAAAAACTCTCTGACGTCCTCCTATTTAAAATCTCACGATATAAATTTTTCTTCAGTTGGTGCAATTTCTTGATATCATTATTTTTGTAGAAAATGGAAACTACTATTTCAAACAATTTTTCGTTAAAAATTTTTCCATTTACATAATAATAAAAATAACAAATTTTACAGCATAATTTTTTCAGCTAAATTAAATTTCTAAATATTTTCACATTTTCTACGCGAAGAGGGATTTTTGAACGTTTCCTTTTTTAAAACGAGATAAATTTAACTTTAATAAATTCAACATTATTAGATCATTCTCCCTGATCTGCTCGAGAAGTCGCAGTCTGCGAATTCGCTCGCCAAACGATTCGGGTCTCACCTGGACGAGGGTATCGTGGAGGACGAGGAGGGCGGTTCCTTGTCCTTGGTGGTGCGGTTGCCGTATTTGTTCTTCAGGTACCTGGCCCAGGAGCTCAGAGCCGCGCCGTCCTTCTCCGCGCCCGGGCGATCGCGTTCCGGGCTCGGCTCCCTCGACTTCAGGGCGTGGGTGCTGCGGCTACGCGCGAGCTCGGAGCCGACGCCGTACTTGGCCGCCAGGTAGGCGTTCGGCGACTGGGTCGTCGGCGACGGCGGTTCCTCGTCCAGGTCGAGATCGTCGCCGCCGAAGTTGTGCGAGCTCCTGGAACGGGCGAGACGCTGCCGGCGCTCCTTCAGGGCAGCGTATCGGGATCTCGCCGACAAGGGCGAGTCCACCTCCGCATCCACGTCCCTCTCGCGTTCTCGCTCGCGTTCGCGTTCCCGATCCCGTTCTCGTTCTCGTTCCCGTTCCCGTTCCCGTTCCCGTTCCCGTTCCCGTTCCCGTTCTCGTTCCCGTTCACGCTCGCGGGACGCCATCATCGCCGCCTGGCTCCTGCTCTTGTTCAGGAATCTGAAACATCAGCGAGAGGGTGCGCTCAATTCGTCTGTATCGAAAGTTTATCTTCTTACGCTGCCAGCTTGAATTATTTCACTCTCCCAGAAGTAATTGTGTTTTTATTACATAGTAATAATTTTAGGATTTTTTGGGGTATATTTTTTTCAGAAAATAGTGAATGAGAGTTTTCAGAAAATATCGAATATAGAGAAATAGATTATAATTACACTGAGAAAAATCGTTTGATTGTATCAACAAGATGTATATGATTGAAGGCATTTTAATTAAATCATACAAGAATTTCTAGTTATCATGATAGGACTCGATTTTTTATAACTAGAACGTTTAATAGATTTTACTATAAGAATTTGATTAGTATTTTTTGGTTGAATCTACACACTGAGGAAAAAATTATCTTGAAATAAAAAAATTTTAGTTAACTCAAGAAAGCTATTCATTCGGTGGGTACTAATCACGTATTTACTTGTATTCAAAACGTCTGTTTGCTTAAGTTAAGTATTTATTTACATATGCTTAAAAAAATATAATTTTTAATTAAATATTTTTATATTTTAATTTTACAAAATATTTATTAAAATGCATTTTTTATTCCCAAAAATTTTAAATTTTTTAATTTAAAAAAATAATATATTTAATTTAATAAATTATAGTACATATTTTACGAAAATAGTATTTAAATATAAAAAATATATAAATGAAAATAATGAACTTAATACAACATGCATATTTAATTAAAATTAAATGCTTTTGCTTAAATGAAATAAATAATTCCTTCCATTTAGAGCAAAAGTTTCAAGAAAACAAATTTATTTGATTCAACAAAATTTTTCGCTCCATAAAATTTCTTGTTGCATTAACTTCTTTGCTTGCCGCTAAGCGGTGACCCACTCTTAACTTTACTCGTATTCAATATTTGCCATGAAATGTATATAAAGAACTAGTATTAACTAATATATATTAACATTAAATCCAAAGTATATTTTTTTTTTTTACGAGCAATAATACCAGAAAGAGGACGCTCTTTGATTGTGTGTGTTTGAGATGCATCCTCTTCTTGCATCACTGTTTAATTTCTAACAAACTGAATTTAAAATAATTTATTCAATAATCTGAATTGAATTTATCCAATAATCTTGTTGGAATTAAAAATATTAAACAGACTTTTGAGATTAAATGGAAAAAATTTTAAACGACTTGGTGCTGGCGAGTTTAGTATTATTAACCAGAAAATTTGGTAAATTTGACAGGAAGAAATTAATCAGATTCATTTGGTAATTCCTATAAGAATTCTGGTTTGTCCATTTTCCAACAGATATACTGATTGAATCTATCAGAATTCTAATTATGCAACCAAATTTTTTTCTCAGTGCATTATACATATTTTTTTTTAGGGAAAATAATGACAGTTTACAAAAATAAAATTTTATTATTATATAAATATTGTAATCATTATGTGTATTTTTTTCAAGGAAGATAATTAATGATAGTTTAATAAAAAATTTCGAATTTAAATATTATTACAATAATTATAAAAATAATTATAATTATAAAAATTATTACAATAATTTTCCTAGATATCTTAAAGTATCCACCTTGTAGGAAATTTCTCTGTGATGCAAAGTTATTTCTGCGAGAGTAAAATAATTCCAACGCGTATGCATTCAACACTTAAAATTGACAAGTGACAGATAATTAAATGTACAATGAGATAATTAAGCAACGCGATGAAAAAGCAATGTAATTCCATCTCATTTCATCTTTTTGCGTTATGTAATTGCTAAATAATATGTAGATTGTCTACGGAGAGAAGCGTAAAATATATGAGCACGTTGTTAATTGTAAGAAAGTTAAAACAACAATTAAACTTTATCTTCCGTGCTATGTATGACGTCTTCCAAAAGATATTACATTTGTTAATGCATCCCTTTAAATATTTGCCAATTATCGAAATTTCCCCCGAATTTTTTAGAGGTCACAAACTCTACGATAGCTCGGTCGGTCTTTCATCTTCTTCATGTTCTGAATCGTAATTGTCCAAGCTAAATTCGAGTGGATTTCGGGTAATCGTACACCCTTGAAACATTGGATGGTCTCGACCTCGGGACACGCGCGGAAAAGCGATACCCATTGTGAACGAGCGGGATACCGCAGAGATATCTGCGGTCGTATTTTCAAACGAGACCTCACATCGGGGCTATTTCGGTGCACGTGCGTGCCGCGAGCGCAAACTGTGCAAGGGAGCATGGACGCAATATCGTCGCAACGGAAATACTTCGCGTACAATACGTATATATCTGCAGCGCGCTCCATTTTGAAGAAAAAAAAAAAGAGAAACTCGAATTTCGTCTTCAAAATAAAAATGGCAGACACCGTTTAAGCGTCATTGATAGCGATTAAAAATATAGTCGTCGAGATCATGGAGAAAAAATATTTGACATTTGGCATTTGAAAAAAATAATTTTCAAAATAATAAAATAATTTCTTTCACTTTAAAATAACTTTCTTTTTTTCTTGAAGATATTTATTGGCGATTCATCGAAGAAAGAGTTACGCTGCATTGATTATATGCGTATAATGTCAAACTTTTATACCGCACAAAGAAGACGCTATTTATTCGCGTATATTACGTTTGAAAAGATACAATAATACGAGCGTGAATTGCATACGCTAATGAGTTGGGGATGGAACAAAGTAACGAGGTTAAGGAGCTAACTGCTTTTCATATACATAGACTTTGTGTCAGTATTACTGTCTCGTTTATGGGATTAGCTTTCGAGGACGTGATTTGCATTTGATTGCCCGCGAATTTATTCGCTGTCCGCGATTATACGAAGTTCTCGCGAGCTATTGTACCGAAAAGTTACGTCGGGAGGGATCTGAGATATATTGATATCGCGTTAATTAATTTTATTTCGCGGTTTTAATAGCGCATACAAACGACGAATAATAAAAACACACAGGCAATACTATGGCGAATTAATTAAAGCTTCTCTCGCTGCTGTCGTCGCGCTTGTGCGAATCAGAGGAAGCGGTTATGGACAAATGTTTAAGAAAGTTATTATTGTCACATAAAAAATAATCACATTCCGATATTATATGTCAATTCAATGTAACAATATATGAGACAAGCTACGAGATCAGTGTAGTTAATTGGTGCGCTAATATGCTAATCTCTCATGTGTGGTCTGTACACTTGCCGGAAGCCGTTCATCGTCAGTGGAAGATGTCGTATTACATACTTATCGGATCGGTTGCAGGTTTTTTTTTTTTCGTTTACTTTTGGCTTTTGAAATTTGAAAAAAAGAGACCTATGCTTACGAAACGGCCACTGATCTAATTCGATTCCAGCTCCATGGATGAGCGCAATCGTCGGCGGCCACCGATGCGCCGCTCATTTTATCACAGATTCGTGAGACATCCTGTATACATGAGTATGATGAATATGCAGATAAGTGTTTTACTGTGATGTATTCGCACGTATACGTCATGCACACCATTTTTTTGCAACAAGTACCGTAAGTACCTTTATCTTATTACACAGGCCTGCAAAAAAGGGGGTCAAAATTTCTTTTTAAGATGCAATAGTGATTTTTGACGTAATTTTGTGCGCTGAATCCGACTCTGGCCGCCGAATTTGCGTAGCACGTCAGGTTTTTGAGTTATTTGCAGTTGAATAGCGCAAAAATCGCTACTTTGGCCAAATTCATGAATTTATTGTGAGTAAACCAAATTTTTGGAAATATTTCTGTCAATGGCATCGTATAGTACTCACCTTCATCTTTCGAATCCACTTTCGATTATCGCCGCACGATTTTTTTTCGCTCAGATATACAAGTCATAAGACTGGTCATGCATAGGGATCTAATAAGCCATTCTAAATCAACCGTGCCACCTCTTTATTTCACTACGAATCAAAATTAGGATTAAAATATACATTTTTAAACTTTCTGTCACCTTTTGAAATTAAAAATGGCGCATCCAATATGGCGAATAGAATCACAATAAAAAGGCATAAAATTTAGAAAAATTTATCAAAATGTGTAACAACTGTATTAGATATTTCTTTACAATACTTTTTTGGACAACCGAACCTGACATATGTCAGTCTTTTCAACTTTCAACATCATGGATCTATATTGATGTCTATATAAATTTTCTTTAACGTAAATTTTCTTACAACGTCATACTTATATATCTCAGTGAAGAAAAATCGTGCGGCGATAATCGAAAGTGGAAATTTGAAAGGCGAAAGTGAGTATTATACGATGCCATTGGGCAGAAATATTTCAAAAAATTTGGTTTCCTCGCAATAAATTCATGAAATTGGCCAAAATAGCGATTTTTGGGCTATTCAACTACAAATAACTCAAAAACCTGACGTGCTACGCAAATTCGGCGGCCAGATTCGAATTCAGCGCACAAAATTACGTCGGAAATCACTATTGCATCTTAAAAAGAAAAACCTCGCAGGCCTGTGTTATTAGAAGCAAGAGGGAGGGCAAGGGAGGGAGCTGTTACTCCTTTAGAAAACTTGGAAGGGAGTTTTAAATCAATGAATAATGTCTCTTTTATATTTAATTTCGTTCAATTTCCAGGTCCCCGATGTGTCCTAGATTATTTTACCGTAAAATATTCCAATTATGTCTCGCGCGCAGATGATAACAGCCCCTCCGTTGTTGATTAATCACAAGTAACCGGGGAAGTGTAAACGCTCGTATATTACATTATAATTAGCGTCCCGCAGGGTAAGTTAGTGTCGCACTCGAAAGAGGATGGGACAAGGGGGACGGGAGGGGCGAGGGGGGTAAGAGAGAGGGGGGGAAGCTATGCGGACGATACGGATGAAATTTTCGGATTGCGTCAAACAATGTTTGTGTAGGTTTGCTCGAATTTGAGAAAGTTCATGAATGTCCGCAAACTTCGGCATAAACATAGTTTATCGCGCTTGTGTGTATGACTTTGCGCCGGACCCTCTCCTCAACTAAGTTCGTATTTCGTCGTATTAGGTCGAGTCCCAGTGCATCGGTAGAACCCGACGTGTCACCCGAAGTAAGAAGTTTCCAGTTTACGAAACTGGTAGATCAGATTGCAAGGCTTTGGATCGATGGTTCTACATTTGCCTCCCCCTCCTCCGCCCCCTTCCTTCTCCCTCCCTTTCTTTACCCAAACGACTGTGTGGAAGCTGCGAAGTTTCGACACCACCGATTTGTTATAGCGGCGAACGGAGTGCGCAATGTGCTAAGAATACTGCGTTGCGTTATGCAGTAATCCACTTTCTCGGCTGCAAGTATTTTTACGGTAGAAGGCTGGGAGAGAGAAAGAAGCTCGACTATATATTTCAATTTTTTGAAAAAAAAAAACGGCGCAAAATTTGAGAGAAAAGTAAAGAAAAGTTAATATTCTCAAGCAATTTGAGCTCCCATCATTATATGACTTGAAATAAAATTAATTTATAAAATAATAAAATTAATTTATGACATATTAACCCATCTAATATAATACAATACTAATTATATATATTTATTAATTAGAGACAGACTTGTCAAATATGTTTACAGTTGTCATTTGCAAATATAATGAAGAGTTTCCATCATGATAACTTGAAATAAAATTAATTTATAAAATAATAGAATAATAAAATTCATTTATGACATATTAACCCATCTAATATAATACAATATTAATTATATATATTTATTAATTAGAGACAGACTTGTCAAATATGTTTACAGTTGTCATTTGCAAATATAATGAAGAGTTTCCATCATGATAACTTGAAATAAAATTAATTTATAAAATAATAGAATAATAAAATTCATTTATGACATATTAACCCATCTAATATAATACAATATTAATTATATATATTTATTAATTAGAGACAGACTTGTCAAATATGTTTACAGTTGTCATTTGCAAAAATAATGAAGAGTTTCCATCATGATATGACTTGAAATAAAATTAATTTATAAAATAATAGAATAATAAAATTCATTTATGACATATTAACCCATCTAATATAATACAATATTAATTATATATATTTATTAATTAGAGACAGACTTGTCAAATATGTTTACAGTTGTCATTTGCAAAAATAATGAAGAGTTTCCATCATGATATGACTTGAAATAAAATTAATTTATAAAATAATAGAATAATAAAATTCACTTATGACATATTAACCCATCTAATATAATACAATATTAATTATATATATTTATTAATTAGAGACAGACTTGTCAAATATGTTTACAGTTGTCATTTGCAAAAATAATGAAGAGTTTCCATCATTATATGACTTGAAATAAAATTAATTTATAAAATAATAAAATAATAAATTTCATTTATGACATATTAACCCATCTAATATAATACAATATTAATTATATATATTTATTAATTAAAGACAGACTTGTCAAATATGTTTACAGTTGTCATTTGCAAAAATAATGAAGAGTTTCCATCATGATATGACTTGAAATAAAATTAATTTATAAAATAATAAAATAATAAATTTCATTTACATTTGACATATTAACCCATCTAATATAATACAATACTAATTATATATATTTATTAATTAAAGGCAGACTTGTCAAATATGTTCACAGTTTATCATTTGCAAAAATAATGAATTATGCATTTGAATTGCGGGATAGAAAACGGATTAGTCGCTAAAATTATCGGATTACTTATTTCCTATAAAGTTCTCTTAGCTCGTTGCGAATTTTTGGATCTCTTCTGTCCAAAAGCATGAATTTGTCCCCATGTCTCGTGTGTGTTACCTATTTGTAGTCGCGCAAAATCCAGTATTCTACCACTTGTGAACACCTCTGACTTTCTCGTCGAGATTTCAGCTTGGTTGTGTACGTATCTCGAGATGTACAAAGGAGATTTATATCGTCAACTTGTAAAAACTTGTATCCTAAACGCTCTGAAGAAATATGAGAAGAGCCTGCTTGTAGATGACTGTGTCTGCTTTACCAAGATTTTTGCGAATCATTCAGAATGTGTGTCCAAGATTTTTATGATACGCGACATCTTTTATATTCATTTGTTATTTTACTGTAAAGAAAAAAAAACAAGAAAAATTAGATGCTAAGAATACAAGATTTTATATCGTTCATAAAAAAGAAAACACAAGTTATATCAATCTTTGCTCATTTGCCAAGAAATGATTGACCGCGTATAATATTAAATTAATCTACGCGCACGTAATATAACTTGACAATCAAAAAAGTAATCACTTTTGAGAAACATCCCCCTCGGGAAATCTCCGAAGCGGACGAAAATTTAAAGCCGCCTCTCCTCCAGGTCGATCATCGACCGATCAATGATGATATAAACGTAAAAACAATCTGTTAGTGCAATAAATAAATATGCATTTTTTTCTCGTACATATCGTATCCCGCTTGATATTATTCCAATGATAATACACGTATGGATAGGGACACTGAGAGTGATAAATCAGGGAATTAGATCGCGAGAGATTCTCTCGGGGCGGGGAGATTGACGGGGAAACATGGACAACTGAAAGAAAATGAAATATTACGGACAAAAATTTGTGAGCAGGCGGCAATCGACACTATTGTGCTTGTTATCATTCTGATACTGAGGATACGGTTGAGAGGGAAATAAATAATACGAGTTATCACAAGAGAAATGCAGTTTATTTACCACACCGACAAACTGTGACGCAAGCCTACTTGCTAAGGAGAGAGTACAAAAACTTATTATAGATACGCGTTGACGCGGAGGCGATTCACGTGGTGACAGGCTGCCCACGTGCGATCGCCGCCGACGTCTGACGCCATTTTTTCGGGGACGGCTTTAAAGCATGAATTGAAGCGTGAATTGCGAAGACTGCCTCGCTACTTGACGCGATGCCTGTCTATGTGTGTGTAATATATATACACATATATTTATATATGCATATGTGTACAAAAGGCGAAGCTACTTGAGCAATGATGCGGATTACGTAATCGCGGATCGACAAATGTAGGAACAATGGCACTCGGCCGTACATACGATTATCACAATATATAAAATGCAAATTTATCAAGTATACTGTAAAGTTTCCTATGTTCATGAACGTTCTCTGGTGGTGGCGGCTTTTATCTGGCGCCCAAAGAACGCGAGTTTCGAGCAGCAGTTCTCTCTTTTTAATAAGAGATAAAAATATATATATCTTCTTCTCTGGTTGTATTATAATTTTTTTCCAAATTGTCTATCAATTATTGATTCTGATAGTAATTAATTTTGCCCTGTGATTCCGAGCCTAATTTTGGAAACTAATTAGCATGTGATTGAAGTTAATTGAATATTAATCAGAATTCGAGCATGTAATGATGTGTAATAATAATGACACTGATTAGTATGATCTCTAAATTATTGTCCCCTTTTGTCTCAAACTAATCGTGCGGTCATGAAAGGGTTAAACAATTTAAAAATCTACAATTATGCTTTATAAGAATTAAGTGTTTTGTTACACTGAGAAAAACCGTTTAATTGTACCAACAAGACGTATATGATTGAAGACATTTTGTTAAATTAAACAAGAATTTCTAATTATCATGATAAGACTCAATTTTTTATAACTAGAACGTTTAATAGATTTTACTATAAGGATTTGGTTAGTATTTTCTGGTTGAATCTATAAAATTTCTTGTTATATTAACTTCTGTGCTTGCCGCTAAGCGGTGAGCCACTCTTAACTTTATTCGTATTAAATATTTGCCATGAAATGTATATAAAAAACTAGTATTAACATTAAATCCAAAGTATATATTTTTTCTCTTACGAGCAGTAGTGTCAGAAAGAGGACGCTAGCTCTCTGATTGTGTGTGTTTGAGCTACATCCCCTTCTTGCATCACTTGCATAAGTTTAATTTCTAACAAACTAAATTTAAAATAATTTATTCAATAATCTGAATTGAATTTATCCAATAATCTTGTTGGAATTCAAAATATTAAACAGACTGTTGAGATTAGATTGAAAAAATTTTAGACAACTTGGTGCTGAGGAGTTTAGTATTATTAACCAGAAAATTTGATAAATTTAACAGGAAGAAATTAATCAGATTCATCTGGTAATTTCTACAAGAATTCTGGTTCGTTCATTTTCCAACAGACATACTGGTTGAATCTACCAGAATTCTAATTAATGCAACCAGATTTTTTTCTCAGTGTATTTTTTTTCTCTTACAAGCAGTAGTGCCAGAAAGAGGACGCTAGCTCTCTGATTGTGTGTGTTTGAGCTGCATCCTCTTCTTGCATCATTGTTTATCAGTTTAATTTCTAACAAAGTGAATTTAAAATAATTTATTCAATAATCTGGATTAAATTTATCCAATAATCTTGTTGGAATTCAAAATATTAAACAGACTTTTGAGATTAGATGGAAAAAATTTTAGACGACTTGGTGCTGGCGAGTTTAGTATTATTAACCGGAAAATTTGATAAATTTAACAGGAAGAAATTAATCAGATTCATCTGGTAATTCCTACAAGAATTTTGATTCGTCCATTTTCCAACATACTGGTTGAATCTATCAGAATTCTAATTAATGCAACCAGATTTTTTTCTCAGTGTATTTTTTTTCTCTTACAAGCAATAGTGCCAGAAAGAGGACGCTAGCTCTCTGATTGTGTATTTGAGCTGCATCCTCTTCTTACATCACTGTTTATCAGTCTAATTTCTAACAAACTTAATTTAAAATAATTTATTCAATAATCTGGTTTGAATTTATCCAATAATCTTGTTGGAATTCAGAATATTAAACAGACTTTTGAGATTAGATGGAAAAAATTTTAGACGACTTGGTACTGGCGAGTTTAGTATTATTAACCGTAAAATTTGGTAAATTTAACAGGAAGAAATGAATCAGATTCATCTGGTAATTCCTACAAGAATTTTGATCCATTTTCCAACATACTGGTTGAATCTATCAGAATTCTAATTAATGCAACCAGATTTTTTCCTCAGTGTACTGTCATAATTACATCTACGCATTGTCTCGCTAATTGACAAAATCCCAGTCATAGAATTGGCTCTAATAATATTTTGATGAGGATTAAAATCCTTTCGTGAACAAGACAAAATATTGGGAGAGAAAACTGCTGCATCGTCACTCGCGACAAGAAGAGAGTCTCGTCAGTTTCTGTGTGCGTGTGTAAGGTCCACGGTCTCTCATCATGAACGCCGACAACCGACACCGTCGAGATAAAGCATCGGGATGGACCGAAAGAGAAGAGACCCATGTACGGTGTCTGTGTACGTGAGAGAAAAGTAGATAGTCCGACTTGGGAAATTACAGGAGGAGGTTCGTTAGAACGGTGTAACACAGTACGGACACACAGAAGACGGTGGTTACCATTTGCACCGGTATACTGACAATGGCGCCAACGGGCCGCGTTTCCTCGCGCTCGCCGAGAAGCCTCGACTGCTCGCCCTTCGACTGAGTAGCGTTCGCGAGTAGTAATGCACCGTTCTCAGTGTTAGTTTTCGTTACGAGGTCGGTCGTTTGGGAACGAATCGTGCTCTCCTGCGCGCTGCGCTTCCCTACACGGCCATCAGCGACGTCGTCATCGTCGTCGTCAAGTATCACCCACCCGTTCTCATCGATGCCACTATCCTCGATCCCCCTCGAAGCTTCGTTTTCCCTCGCGAGCCCTTCGATCTGGGCGACGTCTCGATTGTAGGGGACCTCGAGGCCAGGAGGGGTTGCCCGTTCGGACTCGCTCTCGGACTCGTCGGAGACCAGCCATCCGTTCTTACCCAGACTGCTCTGCTTGTATACGCGGCTTCTGGACGGACCCTCGGATGAGCCTGGTTCGCTCGGGGGAGTCATCTCGACGTCGTCCATCGCGATGTTCGAGGTATCCTCGAGATTGTCCAATGTTTCATGTTCTCGCTCGACGATTGGAATAGGTTCTTCGTAGCCGTCCTCGGTCTTCTCGACAATCTGATCGTCCATGAATCCAAAGCCCGATGGGATCGCGGACATTGTCTGCAGATCCTGCTGGAGATCCTGCTCTGTGATCACCCAACCGTTATCGTCGAACATCTCCTCGATGCTTCTCTCGTCGATAATGGAGGCGCTTCGGCGCTTTAGGTCCCTCTCGTAACGATCGTCGGGTGTCTTGCTGCTCTCGCCTAGGCCCGAACTGACACTCAACACCGTAGTCTCCTCGTCGTTCCCGGAACTCGAAGAATCTTCGTTTTTCTCGCCAACCTCGCGTTTCTCGCTGCCTTTGTAGCCGGAATCGTTCTTGTCTTCCTCCCTTTTCTCCTTCTTCACGTTGCAATTTTCATCCCGAGACTCGTCGTCCTCAACCTCCTCTTCGTCCTCCTCCTCGGAGCCGCTATCGGAATCACTTTCCTCCGATTCACTGTCGGATATCGTTCGCCCGCTGATGGAACTCGAACACTCGGAGACAGTTTGGGACTCTTTGGATCTCGATCGGTCTCTGGAGATCGGCTCGTCGATCGTCTCGACAGATCGACTCATGAGATCCGACGTGCGCTGCTCGCCGACAATCGCGTCGACGTCCTCCACGACGATCCGAAGTAAACATGGCGCGTCTTCTGGCTTTTCACGCTTCTCACCATCGCGTCCTCTCGTCTCGGTGTCATCGTCAATCGCGAGAGTAGATCCGTCCCGTTCGCGATCAACGCCGGCTATCAACGAGATCTCATCGTTCCCGGAACGACCTTCCACTAACGTGGCCTCGTCTTGGGCTGCCACGCTCGCTACTCGACTATCGCCACGGCTACCCTCGAGGAGATCACTCTCGGGTTCGCTAATCGCGAGGTGGGAGGAGGTGGATGAGGTGATCGATTTGTCGGTGTCCGTAATAATAATGTCCGTTCGTGACGAGCGAGTGTTTGTCGCCCGCGGCGGTTTAAGTGCGTCCCCGTCGTCGTCGACGTTAAAAGCGTAATCCGCGATCGTGGCCGTAGCCGCGATTACTTTATTAACGTCCTCGTCGCGACCGGCCGAGTACCTTCTTTCGTCGGTACTACCGTCCGCGCTAATCGCCCTAAAACGATTACGATCGTGGGGGTTACTGGAATTAGAAGTGGCCTCATCGTGAGCAGTCGTTTGAGCTACGTGCGCTACGAACCTGCTGGTGTAGCCGCCCGGCGTCGTCGACGTCGTCGTCATCGCGGCGCCGCCGCTCGGTGCCGTCATCGTCGTCGTCATCGTCGTCACGGATTGCGCGGGGCTCCCCCTCGGCGACGAATACCTGAGACACGAGGTGATCGGTCGGAACTTTCTCTCTCTTTTTTTGGGGGGGGGGGGGGGTTAAGTGCTTTGTTTCTACTACTTCTAAGGGGTACGTTTCGCAGGGTGTGCCAGACTGATTGCGTCCTCGAGAACTTATCGGACGTGGCACATCGATAATCTCTCTCTCATCAAGATTCCGGTCACGTTATTTCGACTGTTGTCGGCTGCTTGGCCGAGCTTATCGAAAGGTCTTCCATTAGTATCCAAGCGCGAGATTGTACGATTAGTAAGTTTCGCTGCTCTATATATTTCAAAATGTTGACAAGCTATTCAATTCGGTTTCTCAGTCGTCATATTTTATAGAAACGTCTCATGCAAATAAATCAGAAATCGCGACAGTTAATCGTTTATTTAGATGAATGAAAAGCCGCACTGAGAAAAATCGTTTGATTGTACCAACAAGATTTGTATATGATTGAAGGCATTTTGATTAAAGATGTTTTGTATCTATTTTCCAAATATTGAGAATTTAATGAAAATTGTACAGAATGTCCTTACATATGTTTAGAATCTTCAGTACAATTTTTAAATCGATTCTTCGAGGAGACTTAAGGCGTAAGACTTAAGAAATTGACCAATCACAATATAATCAGAATATTCTCTTAATAGTTAATTGTAATTGGTCAATTTCTTAAGTCTTACGTCTTAAGTCTCTTTAAAATCTCATTGTAGACGACGCTTAAGGCGTTCACAAGTTATAAGGATTTTAATTTGCATCGAATTAACATGTGTTCTTATGGGAAACGTATAATCACGTCGATTCAAATGAGCACATGGAAATAATATTCAGAATTTGTTGAAAATTTGCAAAAGTTTAGATATAGAGGAAATATTTGGTCAAATAACATTATACAAGTACTAAGTGATTAAAAAGATATTAAATATAATTTAATGAAGTTAGCCATGTCACAAGGCGAAATTCTCTGCCAAAAGTTAATTATTTCGATTAACAAAATTCGGAATATTTCAGTAAAAACGCAATAAATATTAAAAAATACATCTCTACACTGTAGCTAACATCAAATTGTAATCCACAATTTCTTACTCAAAACACACCAAAAGTGGATATATTCGTCAATATTGATTTTTAGCTACTTTTTGCTGGGATTGTACATATAAAACATCCTTAAGATCTTTTTATAATAATTTTATATAATAATTTTAATAATTTTAATAATTTTATAACATTTTCTGAGATTATACATACAAAACATCCTTAAATCAAACAAGAATTTCTAATTATCATGATAAGACTCGATTTTTTATAACCAAAACGTTTAATAAATTTTACTATAAGGATTTGGTTAGTATTTTCTGGTTGGATCTATAAAATTTCTGTTACATTAATTTCTTTGTTTGCCTAGTCAGCGAGCCACTCTTAACTTAACTCGTATTCAATATTTTTGCCATAGAATGTATATAAAGAACTAGTATTAACATTAAACCCAAGGTATATTTTTTTTCTCTTACGAGCAGTAGTGCCAGAAAGAGGACGCTAGCTCTCTGATTGTGTGTGTTTGAGCTGCATCCTCTTCTTGCATCACTGTTTATTAGTTTAATTTCTAACAAACTGAATTTAAAATAATTTATTTAATAATTTGTATTGAATTTATCGAATAATCTTGTTGGAATTCAGAATATTAAACAGACTTTTGAGATTAGATGGAAAAAATTTGAAACGACTTGGTGCTGGCGAGTTTAGTATTATTAACCGGAAAATTTGGTAAATTTAACAGGAGGAAATTAATCAGATTCATCTGGTAATTCCTACAAAAATTCTGGTTCATCCATTTTCCAACAGACATACTGGTTGAATCTACCAGAATTCTAATTAATGCATAAATTATTTTAATATCGCTAGTCAATTAATCAAAGTTTAATTACGACGTTATGGTCATAGCGTTATAATTAATAAACCAAAATTCTGATTAGGTTAGGTTAGGTCTGATTAGTTTTGGTCGATTACATTATTTCCAATGATCCTCTAATTAATGCAACCAGATTTTTTTCTCAGTGCGAGTCTCTCAAAGTTTCTCGTCCTTAAAATTCGAAGCGAATTTCTTTGATCGAGTAATTAATTAATTAGTAATAAAAGTCGATAGATTCTTCAAATAAAGAGCGACTGTACCACTTTATTAAGGTCTATTTACACATATCCGTGATGTGTGAGTGCCGTATCAGTGTCGTGTCAGTAACATCCATAATGTATCAGTGATGATTATTCACATATATCCGTATAGTTTGATCAGTTTGAATTCAGTGATTTTCAAGATGGCTCAGTTTTTTATATTTAGGATGCGATAAATCGTATAGCACGGGATATTGACGCACTAATTCAATAAGTTGTTCATCATTCATTTTTACAAGCTTAAAAATGTCTATATAAATATAGGTATAAGCTTATAAAGATTTTTCCATGTCTCAAGTAAATTACTTTCTTTAAGTCAACATGTAGATTTGAAATACAAATAAAATATTATATTAAGCATAATTTTACTGTAAAATTTTATCGTAAAATTACACAATATTTCACTTTCATCTAAATCCACGATTTGATCCAAGTAATCTGCTTGGCATCAAATACTCTATAAATAAATTTACTGACCGTCGTAATGTATGTGTGAAAGAACAAAAATATCGTTCGCAATAAACACAATATTACTATGCGGATACTGAACTGAAACTGAACGATCCGAATACGATACAAAGGAATATTTAACGATATTTATCATCACTGATACCGACGAAAAATCACGGAACGGATGCGACACTGATACGTCACGAATATGTGACGTATCAGTGTCCTGTAAACAGACCTTTACCCGTTTCGCGAGAGCAGATGCTCGTGGCCAAATCCTTGCGCCCTAATGTATTACGATTCATCGCCAGGCTGAGCGGTTAATCAGTTTCCGCAGCGGTACGTGAAAAGTTTCTGATAGCAGCGAGCGCGATAGTGAACGAAACACGTGATTCTTTTACAAAGGTCGGAAGGAACCCTACCGGTCCGGGCCGGAAAGCACTTACGACGGTGCCAAGCTCTCTCTCCCTGTTCTCTCGATCGTTTTTCGCTTCCTTAAGGGTCATAGTTTCGATCTCGAGGCGATCTCGAATGTGTTGCAGGTGGGGGAGAGAAATCACTTTAGAATTCAGCGCGAGTTGAATGCGGCCGCGCGTTCGGTATTGTACTCTCGAATGCGGCGAGGGAGAGAACAAATTTGGATGCGTGCATGCGATGCACCGCAAGTAAACAAGAAAACACGCGAACGAGCTTCGCGATAGCTCTCGTAGCGAGAATACAGGGGTTCTTGATGAATTGATTCCTCAGAGTCGCGAAGCGAGAAAGATAATACACGTGATTGAGAATTGTTGCGGGGAACGAGAGAGAATTGGAATTAATTTTCTCGATTTCATCGTAAAAGGAAGATTCATAAAATCTTGAATGAGTAAATATTTAATTATGTCACAAATATTTAGTCTGTACTGGAAGAAATATTATTTTCGTAAAGAAAAGTTTTTCAATATAATTCTTTTTTATTTTATGCTCTCGCTGTCTCAACCTTAGCCATATCTTTTATTCTTATTATCGTAAGCAATTTCTATTTTCATAGGGGTAAACAGTATAATGATTGGCCACTTAAGCAAGATCGCAAAACAAAAATTGAATTATTAACCTGAATTTAATAATTTAGAAAAAAAAATTACTACTAATAGTTGTAAAAAATAATAATGATTCATAATAAAATAAAATCCATCATAAAAATTTAGGAATTAATAAAAATTATGTAAAAAAACACTTATCCTGTCAAAAAAGAGTCATTGGCCATATTAACACAGTTATTGTCTAACAGTTTGACAGTGATTGGCCTCTAACCATGCAAGAACATAATTAAACAGTGAGTACATAATTAAACAGTGACAAAGAAATTATTTGGCATCAAAAAACTAAAATTATTAAATCAATATATATTTTATTACATATATTTAATATAAGAGATAAACATTATTATTGTATATTAATTATTATATATTAATTATAATATAAACAAGAGAAACAAATTTTGTTTAACAAGTATTATTTTTAACTAGACGAACTTTTTTTGGAAATATTTCATTTTTCAAAATTTTTGGTTTTTAAAATTGCCTGATCTTTCTTTTTTTTGTTTTTTTGGTTTTTTATCAGTATTTTCTTTTTTAACATTATTTAACAGTATTTTAACAGTATTTTAACAGTATTTTCTTTATTGTCAATTTTTTCTTTTTGTGACATTATTTTTTTCCTGTTGTTTTTGTAATCTTGCTATTTTTTTTTGTTCTTTTAATTTTTCAGCAAGTTTTTTCTTTTCTAATATGGTTACAGCTGAAAAATATATCTTTTTAGTAATAACAAATATAACTTACTGTCTTATCTGTCACTCGATGTAAGAGGCCAATAACTGTCACATAGTTTCCATAACCACAAAACAATAATTGGTCGAATGGTCAATTACTGTTGTAAAACGTCAATCGTATGTTAGTCGTTGGCATAATATAATTTTTTAAAATATGTATGTTATTTTCACCGATATGAATTTTTTTTACAAAATTTAAACTTCATTAATGCATGTCTATCACGAAAACAAAAATTATATGTCATAAAAACATTAAAAAATTTGCAAATTGTTGGTTCCACTCTTACGGTTTTTTGATTGAATGGCGATAATTTTCAAGTATGTTACCAAAGTCATTTTAATCATTATTTATATAAATTGTAATATATAGAAAATAATTAAATATTAATTGTAATTTAAATTTGAAGCAGAAAAATGTATTAAATATTTTTTTATTTGTAATTAAAAACATTTTAATAGTATTTTCTTTTAATCTTTAATTTTTTTAAATGTGGCCAATCATTGTAGAGTGACTAATAACTGTACTGTTTACCCCTATTTGACGATCATCAACTGATATGAATTTCTTTAACGTAATTACTACATCCAAATCACGAAATCGATTAATCAATTATTCTTTATGTCAATACAGAACATTAATTTCTATTAATATAATCAAGAAAGTTACACATTAAGCATCAATTTCATCAAATTTTATTAGACAACCCCTGAAATATCTCGCTGGAAATCAAAGTTGATCATATCAGTTGAGAGTCAAATCTCTCGTCGGATCTCGTAGAATCACATCTTTAAAAGGGAGGTACTTGCCTGATGGAGGGTGAATCCTCTTTGCTTCCCCTTCTAGCTTCGGCGCTGCGAGCGAGCAGAGGCCCGATGTCGGTACGAGCCATGGCAGATTCGTTTCTCTGACGATCCTGAGACGCGACGGAGGTGACAGACGGAGAGGCATTGGACGCATGAACGTCCGTCTCCGACTCTTCCTCGGTGTCCGACTCCGTCTCTTCGGAGGAGCTGCTCGTCTCCTCGTCCTCGTCCTCCTCTTCGTCCTTCTTCTTCGTCGCAGGCTCCTCTCGTGGCGCCTGAATCGGTGGTGGTGGAGCCGCACGATTACCTGGAAAAAAAATGGGGAAACTTTGTTAATTCCATTTCCGTGATTTTCATCTCGAGCCCCAGCTCGAAAGAGAAATGCATCGATTATCAAGAACTTTATTAATACATTTTTTTCTTCCTCATCGACACGTTTCATGGGAAAACCATGTCTAATTTCGATTTAGGATTGCACGAGACCAAGTTAGTCTTGAATTATTCTTGGATTAGTCTTGAATTTCAAGACAAGATCAAGACAAGATTTTTTATTATTAAGACAAGATTTTTTATTATTAAGACAAGATTTTTTATTATAATTAGTTATCAAGACAATACCAAGACTAAGACTGTCAAGTTATTAGTCTTATCAAGATTATTGGTTCTCAAGAAAACTAAAATATTTATATTTGTAAATGAAAAAGAAAAAAAAATCACTGTATACGAATTTAAAAAAATTTTATTCAATAAAAACATTTATAAAAACAAATACACAAAAAGGCAAGTAAGGCCACCGGCGTTAGAAGTTGACGCAAAAAAAGGAAAATGAATTGTAAACACGTGTTAATTTACAATCATGTTAATAATCCCGAAATACATTAATTAACGCAAACGTTTCGATCCTCTCCAGATCCTTTTCAACGCATATAATAATAATATAGAATAATCCGTTATGTAACGCACGTGAAAGTCATGTAATAATAATATAGAATAATCCGTTAAGTAACGCACGTGAAAGTCATGTCAAAATCATCAATTACACTTTTTGAAATCTAAATACAAATATGATCGTAGCGCAAACAGACAAAATTAATAAAGTCAAAATTTCGCACAAGTTTACAATTCATTTTCCTTTTTTTCATCAACTTTTAACGCCGGTGGCCTTACTTGCCTTTTTGTATATTTGTTTTTATATTTATTATTCTGCGCCACCCATTCCTAATATTTTTATCTTAAAAACATTTATATTAATAAATTTAAAAATATTTAATATTAATACAATATAACATTTTTATAAATTAGAAATCAAACTCGCAAATTTTAGACATTAAAGAGCATTTTATCCAGGAATTGATGCAGTACTTTTAAAGATTTACTTTGTAATCTGGTTCTATTTTTTGACATAGTTAGAGTTTTCCTATTGAAAAAAGTCTTTCTACTGACACGGATGAGACAGTTGAACTTAAAATGTCTCGAACCATTTTTGACAATGTAGGATAAATATGAACATGATTTTTTTACCACTCCAAAATATTTATATCTGCACATTCCCTTGAAGCCTGTAAATAGTTATTCATTTCTGTTTTCCATAAAACAGTAAATGTCTTTTTATGTAAATAAACGACATTTATATCGATTACATAGTAATAATTATAATTAAAATATAATACAATAGTAATAATTATTTCAAATTATATTACAAAAATTATGTTAAATATTATTTAAATAATTTTTTAATATTAGAGGATTATTGAAAAAATGTAGTCGACCAAACTAGCCAGAAAATTTGTTTATTAGTATGACGTTTCGACCATATGGTTGTGGTCCTTATCAAGTATATACTGGAAGATTTATAAATTAATTAATTAATTAACGGTTTGAATACATAGTACGCTCAACGAATTAAAGTGTGAACAATTTTTATACCGATGTAATAATAATCAGGAGACAGGCATAGACGATAATCTTGTAAAACTGCACAAGTCACATTAACAAAAAACGTTATAATTAACTTTAATAATTACCTTAATAATTATTTTAATAATTACTTTAATAATTACTATAATAATTTAATAAACTTTAATAATTACTTTAATAATTAACTTTAATAATTACCACGAACGCTTGAGAATTATTACCAATTGGTTTAGGAAATCTACATGGTCTCGGAGGTACATCAATTATTATTCGAACCACCCGCTAAAATATAAAATTAACACTATCTATAATTTAGTTGATCATGCTATTTTATTATCTAATGACTGCTTCAAACAAGAAAATATCAAGCTAGTATATGACACGCTAATCAATCATTGTTTTCCAGAACATATCATACATAGACACATTCAAAAAAGAATTAATTTTTTAAATAATCGCGACCACAATGATACCGTTGACGTGAATCCTACTCGTTCAGACAAGATTCATTTTATTACAATACCATACGTAGAGAATACGAGTCATGATCTGTACCGTCTTTTGCGAAATAGTGGTTTTAACGTCGTCTACAAAATAACAAAAAAACTAAATAATTTAATTAGACGCGATAAAGATAGCTTACACAATAATGACAAGACAAGTGTTGTATACAAATTAAATTGTAAGGATTGTAATTTATCATACATTGGGCAAACAAAAAGACATTTACGTACGCGAGTGAAAGAACATTGTAATAATATAAAGTTACATGAAACTAATCACTCGGTCATTAGCAAACATAGATTGGAATCCGGACACGATTTTGACTGGTCGAAACCTAATATTTTGCACAATGAAAAGTATGTTCGAAAGAGAAAAATTGCTGAGATGTTTTTTATCAAGAGATTTAATAATCTAATCAACCTACAGAAAGACACGGATAGTTTAAACAATATTTACGACAAAATAATAAAGGTCACGTAATTTCGTTTTTCCTCTAGTTGTGTTCAGTTTCTTGACGAAAAGTCTCACACGGACGCATCAATTTCTCTCAAATTCAAATCTAGTTAAATAACATTTTTTGTTAATGTGACTTGTGCAGTTTTACAAGATTATCGTCTATGCCTGTCTCCTGATTATTATTACATCGGTATAAAAATTGTTCACACTTTAATTCGTTGAGCGTACTATGTATTCAAACCGTTAATTAATTAATTAATTTATAAATATTAATTTATAATCGTAATATTAATTTATAATCTTCCAGCATATACTTGATAAGAACCACAACCATATGGTCGAAACGTCGTATTAATAAACAAATTTTCTGGCTAGTTTGGTCGACTACATTTTTTCAATGATCCTTTGATTATTTGACTAGCGACAATAAATTATTTTATAATTTTTAATATTAGATAAAAAATTATTAATAAAATCGAGACAAGACAATACAAGACAAGATTTTTGCTACCAATATTCACTCAAGAGCGAGACAAGATTTAAATTTTTCAAAATTTTCAATACAATATTTTTACGAATATTGTCTTGGGTCTTGTGTAACCCATATTTCGATCTAAGGGAATACGTAACGTCGAACTGAAATAACAGTCACGAATAGGGGAAACAGGAGAGACAAGCAGTGGACTTGTCGTGGGAATGCAGCCTCCGTAGCGTTGACGGCTGACGGAAACGCGATGAGAAAGCGGTCCGATCATATCGATTGTCGACGGTGGTCGGAAACAGCGCGCGAATATTGCCACCATGTTCGTCCGCGTGTCTCGCCGATGGCGAGACACGTCGTCGCCTCCGTCCTTAACGCGCGGTGGGTCTCTGATGTGACGTGGTCGGGACATGACGTCGGCGAAAACGAGGCGACGACGCGCGTTAACTGCTGAGGACGCCGAATGGATAATGCAATTACCGTTGTCGATCTCGCTCTCGAATCTCGAAGTATCGTTCGCGCGAGCTGACCTCTCCTCCTCCGTCTCTCGACCCCTCTTCGCCCGGAATCCGGCGAATTGCGACATCGTAACGCGGTTGTAGCGCGACGCTCCGCGTTTTACGCGTACGCCCTTTGCATACGGGATTGGGACAGGAGTGGCGGACGTGGACATTTGCGATCGAACGCGGAACATGCCCTTTACAACCGTCAATTTATCCGTTAATTCCGTCAAGTCTCCATTCATGTCGCTTCCTTTGAACGAATAATTTATATTTATAATTTATATGTTCCACCTACAAAAAAAAATCGTAACTTTGAAACAAATAATCCTATCGACTTTTATCTTGGCTTGTTTTAAGAAGAAGGTTCAAGCTACATGTAAAAAAATCGCTCACTTTGAAATGTAATGTTTACAATAAAGTATAATTATTTAAACTTTGCAAAAAATCAAACTTTTAGAGAATAAAGATTAATCGAAAAATCGTAGAATTTATGCGCTAATTATAAACTTAAAGTTTCATTTAAATGTGATTACAACTTTATTATGAATCGAACGTGTGTGTGCATATTCAGAAAAAAATGTAATATATATTTAAAAAAATGAAATTAAGCTCATACTTTAGATATATTGATATTTAAGCTTTTCATAGTCTGCCATTTTGAATTTAAATTTTGATGGTAAATTTGAAATCAGTTCCCAAAAATCTATCTTCATATAAAACATCTCTTTTGGAAAAGCCGAAGGTATGAAGGGGTTAAATGAAAAAGTCAAACAACTAGTTGGGTGATCGAAGAACAAGGATTCCTACAACATGTTACACTTCTATTAATGACGTGAATGAATTTGAATTGATTAAATTTGTTGCCGCGCGTTTTTCCAAGTTCGATATTTTTGTCGCGTTTTCGAAATACGAGAGAGTTTTCCCTGCCTCGAATTAAACCCTCCGAAATGGAGATAAATGAAAGGTTGAACGCAATTTGTCCGTGCATTCAATTTCCACGCTCAACGGAGCTGCAGAGAAACACAATGGATGCGCTAGGGGCAGTCGCCCGGGGTGCGAGGCCAACAAAGACGTGTTTTCCCGAACCTCTTCGTATAAACAATAGCTAATAGAGAAGGGCGCGAAACCTGGGAAATTGGGACATGCCGCGAATAGAGCAGCTTCCAGCTGCTATAAAAGGCTCCGAATTGCTCCGGTTGCATTATTTCTTCTAATAATTTTCGAGGAGGAATTTTAGAGAAAAAAACCGTCGCGCGCGAAATATTGCTCAAAGTAATTATATCAATTAAACCAGACAGAAATATAAATCATCCCCCTAATATCATCGCGTAAGCGTTCAAAAAAATCTCATATTCTTTCTACGAAAGCGAAGATGTCTGCTCCAGAAGAAACTTATATTAACTTCTTAAGAATGTTTTGTATGTACAATCCCAGCAAAAAGTAGCTGAAAATCAATATTGACAAATATCTACTTTTAGTGTATTTTGAGTATGGGAAATTGTGTGGAATATTACAATTTGAGCTTAGCTACAGTGCAAGGATGTATTTTTTAATATTTATTACGTTTTTATTGAAATATTCCGAATTTTGTTAATCGAAATAATTAACTTTTGGCAGAAAATTTCGCCTTGTGTCAGATACATGGTTAATTTCATTGAATTATATTTAATATCTTTTTAACCAGTTAGTATTTGCATAATATTATTCGACCAAATTATTTCCTCTGTATCTAAACTATTTTAAACAAATTCTGAATATTATTTCCATGTGTTTTTGTCGTTTGAATCGACATGTTAACATTAAAATGAAATTAGAAAATTATAATTGATTTATTAATTTATGTATACTTATGGATAATTATTTTTATAAATTTAATTTTCATATATAAATTTATATATAAAAATTAAACTTATATATTATATTGGAAGTTTTAATGGTATTTGAAATAATAATTTTAAATATTTCTATAATTATATATTTAATTTATAAGATAATAAATTTAGAATTATTTATAATTTATTATTTAATTTTTATAGTTTGTGAAAGAACTTTAGGGTTGTCTTTATTAGTTTTGATTGTTCGATATCATTGTAATGAATTATATTATTTATTTAATTTTAGAAAATTTTAAAATATATTTTTATATATAATAATATTTAAAAAATTTATATGCAAATTAAAATCCTTATAACTTGTGAACGCTTTAGTGAATCGATTTAAAAATTGTACTGAAGATTCTAAACATATGTAAGAACATTCTGTACAATTTTCATTAAATTCTCAATATTTTGAAAATGGATACAAAACATTCTTAATCGAAATGATTAACTTTTGACAGAAAATTTCGCCTTGTGACAGATATATGGCTTTATTGAATTATATTTAATATCTTTTTAACTAGTTAATACTTGTATAATATTATTTGACCAAATATTTCCTCTGTATCTAAACTTTTGCAAATTTTCAACAAATTCTGAATAATATTTCCATGTGTCTTTGTCATTTGAATCGACGTGGTTTTACGTTTCCCATAAGAACACATGTTAATTCGGTGCAAATTAAAATCTTTACAACTTATGAACGCCTTAAGCGTCGTCTACAATAAGATTTTAAGGAGACTTAAGACGTAAAGACTTAAGAAATTGACCAATTACAATCAAGTATTAAGAGAATATTCTGATTATATTGTGATTGGTCAATTTCTTAAGTCTTACGCCTTAAGTCCCCTTAAAATCTCATTGTAGACGACGCTTTAGTGTATTGATTTAAAAATTGTACTGAAGATTCTAAACATATGTAAGGACATTCTGTACAATTTTCATTAAATTCTCAATATTTTGAAAATGGATACAAAACATTCTTAATCGAATTGATTAACTTTTGACAGAGAATTTCGCCTTGTGACAAATACATGGCTTCATTGAATTATATTTAATATCTTTTTAACTAGTTAATACTTGTATAATATTATTTGATCAAATATTTCCTCTGTATTTAAACTTTTGCAAATTTTAAACAAAAATTCTGAATATTATTTCCATGATTGGTCAATTTCTTAAGTCTTACGCCTTAAGTCCCCTTAAAATCTCATTGTAGACGACGCTTTAGTGTATTGATTTAAAAATTGTACTGAAGATTCTAAACATATGTAAGGACATTCTGTACAATTTTCTGTACAATTAAATTCTCAATATTTTGAAAATGGATACAAAACATTCTTAATCGAATTGATTAACTTTTGACAGAGAATTTCGCCTTGTGACAAATACATGGCTTCATTGAATTATATTTAATATCTTTTTAACTAGTTAATACTTGTATAATATTATTTGATCAAATATTTCCTCTGTATTTAAACTTTTGCAAATTTTAAACAAAAATTCTGAATATTATTTCCATGATTGGTCAATTTCTTAAGTCTTACGCCTTAAGTCTCCTTAAAATCTCATTGTAGACGACGCTTTAGTGAATCGATTTAAAAATTGTACTGAAGATTCTAAGCATACGTAAGAACATTCTGTGCAATTTTCATTAAATTCTCAATATTTTGAAAATAGGTGCAAAATATCCTTAAACTATTGTCCGCATTCTTGAAGGTGATTAATAATGCAGGATTAATTACCTGCGCCTAAAAAACGGCTCTGAAAGGGCGTCCTCGGCGCCGGCGCGATGTTGGACGACTCCCTGGGTGTCGTGACGGCTGGCACCGATGACACAGCGGTGGGCGTGTTGGTCGGCGGCGTCCTCGACAGGTATTTCTGCTTCATCTCCTCGGTCGAGAACGGCGCCCCGGTGTTGCGTATCCCCGATCCCGTCGAGCTTTCGGAGCCAGTGCTCGAGTCCGACGAGGCGCTCCTGGCCGCGGGCGGAGCGTGAGTTTCCGCCGAAGTTCTCCTGTTCGGAAGAGCAACGATATTACAAACAAGCACGTTAATAACGCAGAATGGAGAACTCGGCCGAGTTACTTGTTTGCCGTAACAACGTCAGGCACAAACTCGTCGCTTAAGTCCGACATAGCTGGCTAGAGCCGGGACTGCGAATCTCGCGGTTCCCGTCCGTAGTGATTAATATCCGCGCGAGCAAACACGCCTTTGGTCCTTTCGTCCCTTCGGGGGTCCCCGATGTGTTAGTTTATCATCTTGATACATCGCCCTTGGCGAGCGAGTAAAGGTAATTTTCACTGGGATTTTCCTCGACGCGGTGTTAATTCTTGAAATGCGCTCTCCAAATCGCGGTCTCAAATTTTTCATCCAAGATTCAATTATACGTTTTATTTCATTTGACAGTTCGTGACAATCGATCTTACGTTTTTCGAGGTGTGAAGAGGAATTTCAAGCCTACATTTTACGTTAACAATTTTTCGAAATACCTGACGATAGCCGATCTCCTGACCGGCTGTTCCTCGGGTTCCGCGAGTTCCCTCGGCGGCGGGGGATGAACGGGAACCGGCGTCGACGTCGGCTGCCTCTCCTCCACCGTCTCGGCGTGGGCGGCGGCGCTCTTGTTCTGCTTCTTGATCCTGGAGATCTCGTCGTCCTCGCTGGTCTGCCTCGCCATCGCGGTCGGTACCTTTCTCACTTGTACCTGCGCGTCAAAAGAGCACTTATTCGCGAGAAGAAACGCGCCGCGCGTGCATCGCCGGTCGTGAAATCGCCCCGCGACAGGGACTGTCGTCCCTTCGGCCCCTCGCGATCGCCTCTAACATCCTCGAGACACCCTCTCCGCGCCGAGGTTCACGATCGAGAGGGGTCCCCAGCAACCGCGATGTGTCGCGCGATTTATCGAAACGCGCGGAATCCGCGCTTGCATTTAAATGCGACATTACGCGTGACAGGTGGCGAATACGTGAATCGGCGGGGAGATTGCACTCGGGGGATGCGGCCTGCGCCCGCGTAAACAGGTGCGTGTGATACGAGACTAAGTGGGTGGCGTATTAATGATAAAGACGTGATAAAAAGTGTAAAATGATTGTATTATCTCCACATATTCGCAGTATTTCGTACAAAATACAACGTTTTTCCGTCGACTACTATTGGCGCACTTACTCGATATATGTATATATTACTCTTTCTCACTATCTATGTCCTATCTATCTACGTGAAATCGTTAGCAAATTAACGCTGCATAATTCGGTAAACGATGGGCACTTTATCAATCGCATTCGTAAAAATGACGTGTACAGCACTCGATATAAATTATTATAGATTATAATAGAAAGTGGCGGTCCGTGTTTGTACGTTCATTGGCTTTTTTTTTAACACCAGCCGCTATCATCCGAACAATGGGATGCGCGACATCGAACAATTCGTTCGTTGCGCCGGCCGTCAGCATGAAGAGTTCGTGTGTCCATCCGTTTATTTTCTCCTGCCATAATAAGGGATTCCGTGCGCGAAAGTGCGGAGGTATCACTGTCAAAAATAAATACGATGTCGTCAAATTCACGAACGCCCATTCGAATCGTGTTCTTAATTAATTGATTAATTAATTAATCATTCATCACATTAGCTTGCGATCAAGATTTGCGAGTCAAATTGGAAATCTGCGCTTCTTTTTCGTCTCAGTATTGTCAGTAGAGCAACATTAGTCGTAATACTTTTCCAAATTTTTACTCTTACACATAAATTGCGAGAACGCGAATTGTAAAAATTATGCACTGAGAAAAATCGTTTGATTGTACCAACAAGACGTATATGATTAAAGACATTTTGGTTAAATCAAACAAGAATTTCTAGTTATCGTGATAAGACTCGATTTTTTATAACTAGAACGTTTAATAGATTTTACTATAAGGATTTAGTTAATATTTTCTGGATGGATCTATAAAATTTCTTGTTAAATTAATTTCTTTGCTTGCCGCTAGGCAGCGAGCCACTCTTAACTTTACTCATATTCAATATTTGCCATGAAATGTGTATAAAGAACTAGTATTAACATTAAATCCAAAGTATATTTTTTTTCGCTTACGAGCAGTAGTGCCGGAAAAAGGACGCTAGCTCTCTGATTGTGTGTGTTTGAGCTGCATCCTCTTCTTGCATCACTGTTTAATTTCTAACAAATTGAATTTAAAATAATTTATTCAATAATCTGGATTAAATTTATCCAATAATCTTGTTGGAATTCAGAATATTAAACAGACTTTTGAGATTAGATGGAAAAAATTTTAGACGACTTGGTGCTGGGAGAGTTTAAGTATTATTAATCAGAAAATTTGGTAAATTTAACAGGAGAAATTAATCAGATTCATCTGGTAATTTCTACAAGAATTCTGGTTCGTCCATTTTCCAACAGACATACTGGTTGAATCTACCAGAATTTTAATTAATGCAACCTGATTATTTTTCTTAGTGTATTTTTTTTCTCTTACGAGCAGTAGTGCCAGAAAGAAGACGCTAGCTCTCTGATTGTGTGTGTTTGAGCTGCATCCTCTTCTTACATCACTGTTTATTAGTTTAATTTCTAACAAACTGAATTTAAAATAATTTATTCAATAATTTGGATTGAATTTATCCAATAATCTTGTTGAAATTCAAAATATTAAACAGACTTTTGAGATTAGATAGAAAAAATTTTAGACGACTTGGTGCTGGCGAGTTTAATATTATTAATCAGAAAATTTGGTAAATTTAACAGGAGAAATTAATCAGATTCATCTGGTAATTTCTACAAGAATTCTGGTTCGTCCATTTTCCAACAGATATACTGGAATTTACCAAAATTCTAATTAATACAACCAGATTTTTTTCTCAGTGTCATTTCTTTTATATCTATAGACTTTAATGTTTGCTAGATATTTTATCCGTGTTATCAAATTTTAACGTGCTCCGAGTGCTCTTTTTCGAATGTTTTGTAAAAATGCATGCAAAATTGATTCCACAGCGATCAAACTCGTGGCCATAAATTAATTGTATCATCGACGTCTAGCCGTTTAAATATTGATGCGACACTGGGGATGATGTACGGCGTATTGATAAGCAGAGAAAGCCAATGAAATTCACCGATATGCTTTCTCTTTCCCTCCCCTTGTACGCGTGGACAATATATTTGTACAATATATTTTTTCGGCATGAAAAAATTCACACCGGCCAGATTTGCATAGATGCACGATCGTTCGATTCAATCAACTGTGCTGCATCAACATTTAAAATATGAACGTCGAGGCAGGGGGAACAGATGGAACAATGGTAAAGCCATGTGTTACATTGATAAAAAAAAAGCACAGATGTCCCGATGGCGAATTTGTCAATTGATACGCTTCCATTGATTTTATGAATTTTTATAAACTCGTTATTACGTAACGATGACGCACTTTGCGACAGTGTTGTTTTTATCAATGATGACCACGTCCTTTATATAATAATTATTTAATAATTTATAAAATATATATAATAATTATATCATAATTTTGTAGCAACTTTTTGGGCTCGAATATACGTTGTCGAAATAATAGCGAGGGACGATCACACATATATATGAAATCTATCAATACGGAGCATCTTTACGAAAGTTGAGACATATTCAGAAAACAACAGATCGATATAAGGAGGGCTTACATGTAAGGCTGAAAAATAGTCCTCGCGTATAATTCCTATATTGCATGAAAATATATTTATATGGCAAATGTATCTGGATTATGCTCTCAGTCTGAATTTTTATTTAATGGCGCAAGCTACATACATATTTTCTCAAAGTATGAAATATCTTTTGTTTAAGACATTTATTACATTTCATCTCGATATTAAAATCGTTGAAAGTAATATTAATGTTTATATATTATATATATATATTATATATATATATATATTTATATATTATATATATGAAATAAATCTTGACTGTTTATTTTTCGGCTTCACTTGATCGATAAGTTAATTGTCAAAAATAGAGGAAAAATATGTAGAATATATACTTACCAAATACAGCAATTATACATTATATTCAAACTCTTGTTAACGAATTCACTGCATTTCAAATGAGATTCATGCAAACAATTGTTATATTCGTTCGATTCGAAATTAAACGGTAATTAACTTCTCTCTTTGCTATATAATTCGATCAGTAATTCACTAATTCAATCAATACCCTTTCTATGATTATCACGTTCGAGTATTCCCCGGGATAATGTATTATGCACCAACAGATACTTTCATGTTAATTTAATATTCGAAACTAAAGTGGACCGGGTTCCAGATTTTATTTATTTTATTTATTATTTTATATATTTTATTTATTTATTTATTTTATTTATTTATTCATTTTATATATTTTATTCATTTATTAGAAATAAACGGAGAAGAAATTCCTTTGTGTGTGAAATAAAGAAAGAGTAAGGAAGATACATCAGCAGATCAGCTTAAATAACATGACAAACTTTCCAACTATTATCTAGAATCAAAATTTATATCCCGAAATTTTTTAAATCTAAATTCTCGACCTGGCAAGTTGTATTTCGATCCACTTTAGCTTCGAAAGCCACGTGTGGGCTCTCAGAAGCATGCTATTCTAACCTGAGGCTTGGGTGTTTGGGGCTGCTGCACTTGGGGCTGACTTGTGGGCTCCTCCTTCTTCCTCTTGCCGGCTCGCTCGCACTCCTGCAGCTTCTTCATAACGCGCGGCGAGTCCGTCAGGCGAAATATACCTGACAGGGGACCGCGCGCGGCGTCCTCCGTATCCAGGACACGTTCGCGCAGACCGGACGGCTCCTGCGGCGCCGTCGACGTGAATCTCACCGTCGATCTCGAGTCGCCGTCGGAATCGTCGCCGTCCCGATGTCGCATAAATCGACTCCTGTACCTCGACTTGTTCCTGGGCACCTCGTATTCTGGCGCCTCGTACCTGACACACAATAGCGACATCGATCAATTAGATTGTCGCCGAGAAACTGATTTGCTTTAATCTGGGGAATTCGCCGATTTCCCTTATCCTAATCCATTTCCCCGACGGCTCGATAAATTGTATAAATGGAGTAAACAGCCCCCGATCTTTTTTACATCTGAGGGGAAAAGTGTTTCTTCTTCTCAAGTTTTAGATCTTTTTTTAAGGATGCTTTGTACCTATTTTCAAAATATTGAGAATTTAATGAAAATTGTACAGAATGTCCTTACATATGTTTAAAATCTTCAGTACAATTTTTAAATCGATTCTAAGATTAAATCTAAGGTGTTCACAAGTTATAAGGATTTTAATTTGCACCGAATTAACTTGTGTTCTTATGAGAAACGTATAACCACGTCGATCAAATGACGTTCAAATGACAAAAACACATGGAAATAATATTCAGAATTTGTTTAAAATTTGCAAAAGTTTAGATACAGAGGAAATATTTGAATTTCAAATAATTTTTACAAGTACTAATAATTTTATACAAGTAACTGGTTAAAAAATTATTAAATATAATTCAATGAAGTTAGCCATGTATCCAAAAGTTAATCATTTCGATTAACAAAATTCGGAATATTTCAGTAAAAAATATTAAAAAAGCAACAAATATTAAAAAATACATCTCTGCACTGTAGCTAAGCTCAAATTGTAATATTCCACACAATTTCTCATACTCAAAATACACCAAAAGTGGATATTCGTCAATATTGATTTTCAGCTACTTTTTGCTGGGATTGTACAAAACATTCTTAAAGCCTCTTAACCAGGTTTTTATATAGTTATAACAATATAAAATCGAAGGATGCTATCTTCAAAATGCAAATAATCTAATTAGTTGTTAAAAGAACAAAAATTTTTAATTTTATAGAATAATAAAAAAAATTGAAATGTTTTATGATTATTCTTAATAGAGCAAATCAATCAAAGATCATACATAGATATCAACTATGTGAATATAAAAAGAATATCTCTCTTTCTCTTAAAGACGAATAATAACATTTTCGCGAATAGATCTCGCGCACACAAGAACACGTGTCTCTGATATACGTCACTTGAAATTATGACAAGGGGCAATGACAAGCCCTACCTACGCTGAAACGCGACCTGCTTTATAGTCAGATTATCTCAGTTCGATTCGAGAGGGCGTTTCGGAGGATTGGCGATGACAGGACGAAATGATATTAGGGGATCTCCATCTTCTACCCTCATATCATCTCCTTCGATATTCCCTTTAAGCTCGCTGATAGGCTTCACAAAATTTTCACCTTATCTTTTAATCCTTTAAATATCAAAGTATGTCGTCAGCAACAGCGTCACTATTTTGATAAAAAAGATGTACATATAATAATTGTTTCAACAAATTTAATATAACAAAGAATTGTGCGTACTAAAAATCGAAATTTTAATTGGATTTTATTCCTTTAATTTCAATTCTAAAAAATAATAATGCTATCAAAATATTTAACATGGTTCTATCAATTTAATAAGGAATTGATGAATGAATAAAGTTTTTAAAATTAAATAATATATCTTTATATATTTTAATATATTAATAATATATTTTTAATATATTTGTCATTTCTAATAAAAATTTTTGTAATTTTTACATAATCAAAATTCTAAAAGTTATATGTATTGTCTTCTTTGTAATATTAGTTACAGAGAAGAAACACATTTTACTAATCAAGGCAAATTGATTGGCAATCGATAAATTAAAATAGATGAAACATATCTTCAATTTATACAGTAATGATTCTGGTGTCGAACCACTGAAAAATCAGAATATATTTTAATCTTTTGATCAAAGTTTTATCATCAACAATCCGATGGAGAAATTGCAATATCGCATTTCCATGCGATCCTTTGTAAAATATTTTTGTTTGCAGATTATTGCAAGAAAATTCGAATCAAGTCCGAAGCGGGTAGAAATAATTAGATGCGAGCTTGGAGAATTGATCACTTTCGAATTCGAGAGATATCGTTATTAAAAAAGTTATTTTGCAGTTTTATGCAAAAATCTAAAGAATTCATCAGTATTTCTTCTAAATATTAATTATTTTTAATTTTAATAATAATATTAATAATATATTACATTCAGGGGAGAAATTTTTTGTCTGATAAAATATTTTATTATGTTAAAAAAATATCTTTTGTAAAATTTGGCGAAAAAAATATCTCATGAATTTAAATTAAATTACTGAATAATCAAACTTATTAAATAAATGATTATTATTATTATTTCTCGTTAAGAGAGGAGAGAGAGAGAGAGACGAAAAGAGACTAAAAATAACAAAATAATTCAATATGCACATAATTCAAAATCTTTTTCCGCACGTGTAATTGTATACATAATCTGCTTTATTCGCAACAAAAATATAAAATGTCTGCTGATGATAAAACGCACGTACACGTGTATGTGTGGCACGTTGCGGAATTTTTTGACTGTTTAATCCATCTATCTGCATTTGCGCTATTTACAGCATCATGGAATATTATCGATTTTAAACACGTGATCATTTAGCTACATTTCCGTGATACGATATCAGGCATCGTCACGCTCCAAAACGCTGACAAGAACACGCGCCAGAAATTGCAACGGCGATGACGGGCATTTGTATGTTTCGGCTTTTCACGCCACGTAAAAAAAAAAAAAAAAAAAGAGAACGAGCACGCGCGCTTTTCAGAACGTATTGTGAAAAAAAGCACGGATAAAACGGAATTTCTGCTCGAATATCACAAGGCAAGTGTCAAAAATAAACATCGCGGTATGCGCGCGATAAAAATGCATTGCACGGGATGCATTTACAATTCAATGATAGGTATCTGAATTCGAGCGCGACCGACAAATCAACGAGACGACAAGTAATTGTATTCTCTCTAATAATCGCAATTGTAATTATATAAAAAAAAATACATGGACGATAGGCAGCGAAAGGGGGAGGTGGGTGGACGGGATTCTCGCAAGTGAAGTAGGTCTTTACAGCTCGCGAGCGTTAATTACTTAAAAATACGCGCTCTCGCGTATCTAAAGCATTTAATTTACATTTTGACGAGGCTGCTTAATAAAACGGACTGGCGAGAGCCTCTAACGACTGGCATCGCGCGAAACAGGCAGCAATTAAACTCGACGCGCCTATTCCGAGCTGAAGGTACTTTTGAATAGGAATAGAAGAGATGAGAGAAAGAGAGAGGAACGCGAAAATGAGAGGATGCCGAAGCACGCGTATTTATAACTATGTCGGAATAAACATGTAAGATATTTCGGAAAATATGCAGTTTTCCTCAACGATGCTCTAAAATCTTACTAAGATAAAAATGCTTTTAATAAACTGCTGTTATAAAATATGTAAAATATATATAAAAGAATTTAATTTTATTTGTATGTTGAAACACACGAGGCTTAAGATTATTTTCACGTACGAATACTTTGTGAAACAGATATTAATTAAATTATATACACCTCGAAAAGCTTTTTATATTGCAGCTTTCAATTGAAATTATTTTATGTCAAGATATATTTTTAATACTAGGTTTGTAATGCAATGCGTTGGATTAAAATGCTTTTGTATATTGTAATTGTATCATTGGAGATGTGTGTGTAATAATCGCAAATGATACTCTTGTATGGAAATATTATTTAATATAGCGTGATATAAAAATTAGAATTTAAATGATAAAAAAATAATTATCATTCCTTCATGTGTGTGTATAAAGATATTATTGCAATTATTACGTTTAATAAAAAATATAATAAATTCTATTTAAAAAGGTATAAATTCTATTTAATATTATTCTATTTATAATAAATTCTATTTAAAAAGGTATAAATTCTATTTAAAAAGATTTAAAAATTGTACAAATTAAAGGAATCATTCGATTGACATAACTATCTCATAAATATGTCTTTATTAGACTTGCGAATAATAGGCACGTACTATTCGTTGCGCCCTGATCTAATGGGATATCGTTAATTTCGCTTCGAGGCTAGAATATTAATAAGTCCCATTATCTAAGGTCTTGCGGCAAGAAAAGCCACGATTCTCAATCTTATCGGTCCCATCTGTTACATTTTTGTCACGATAAATAATAAAATATATCGCCTGCGTGCTTTTCATACGTTCATGTGACTGAATTCTACGAAAAAAAGCATCGCCATCGCTATTGAACGACACGCAAATTATTTACAATCATCTCATGTACGGAAAACTCGACGCGCGAAATATATCTCTTCTCGTAAATAAGACTGCGAATTTTCGCGACGGTCTGATATTTATCATTTCGAAAACAGGCCGAATCTTGTGTGAACGCCGTAAATTAAGGAGTAACGATCTCTCGGGATCGTTACTCCAACATTTCAAGGACGTTTCTTGTCTCCCTTTCTTTCTGTCCTGCTGTTTTTAACCGGCTTTAACGGTCGAAGGTGAATTGATCTCATTGATAAATGGCGGAAGAAATAGTTTCGTCTGGAAGTTTTTTCTAATCGAGTTAGATTGCTATTGGACTGAAGAAGTTGGGGTTTATATAAATAGCTTTTCCGAAGCACTCTCATATCATGCCGAACGGTTTTCTTTTCCTGCTGATATTCTGGTATTTTTCAAGCTTTATGAAGCGTGCGACAAATATTGCTTTCAAAAAGATTTAAACCATTTTATAAATTGATATTATTACTGTAACATAAAGAAGCATTTGTAACGTACTATGCTAAGAATGCATACAAAATATATTAAGAAAATAAATTATAAATAAATTATATTTAAATAATTATATAAATTATATATAAATAATTATATATAAATAAATAATAAATATATTATCCTACCTATATTTCCTAAAATTATTATAAAAAATACATACATATATATATTTTATAATAATTTACAGAAATTACATACTCCTGGGTAATATATTTATTCTAAAATATTTTATAATAAATTTATATAAAATATATTTTATAATGATTTTATAACAATTTATTATAAAATATTTTAAATAAGATTATATAAAATAAAAAATATTTTATCATCCCATATAACTATATTTTTTCGACATAACGTGTATATCATCCCATATAACTATATTTTTTCGACAGTAATTTATAAAAATTAAATATGAGTGATAAAAAATATATATTATAAAGTCCGATTAATCAGCAAAAAGCTTACGATAACAGTTTCGGAAAAGCAATAGGAAACGCAATCGCGATTACGACAAATAATACCCGGATACTCGCGCATCGAGAATAAAAGACGTAAAAGCAAGCAATAGTTACTCGTATTCAGGAACGTATCGATTCCTGGCCAATCGTTCCTCCTCCTGCTGCCTGTATTGGGAAGCGAGACGGTGATCGCTTTTGCTTCTCATGAGGCCGGGCGAACCCCCGGGTGGGGCTAAACTGCTCGAGCTCCCTAGCAATCCGCCGCTTCCGCTTTCCGGTTTAATGTTCAATTCGCCATAACCCGCCACGTGAAGGACAAGCTGATTCGGATCGTGGGCCATCACGAAGCGGACTCGCCGGCTGTAATCCCCCGCCTCGTATTCGAAATTCCTGCAATGGACAATCGCTCATCTTCATTCGTCGCACAAATCGCTGATTGCATAAGCCAAATCATCAGATTACACGATGCAAGATAAATATATTTTCGGGCGTCTCTCCCATCGCGTCATCCTCTCCATTAAGCAACCGCTCGTAAGAAATTTATTTATTTCTCTTTTTCAATATCGAGCACGATTTATCTCGACCTGACATCTGTTTATTCCACGCTTCGATAACTGGAGAAATTGCTTATAGTTAACGACATTGTTTCGACATTCGATATCGGATATGTCTATTCGATTGAGCTGGAGTTACGACAGCACGGTTCCATTTAAATAATGCATCTCCAGAAAGGATTACGTAACTTTGCACATCCTTGTCTATTTAATATATATGAAATTCCTACGGACGTAGAAACGCGAGCTTTTAAAATTAATCGCGACACTAATTCGACATGTTAATTACTAATGAAGCATATAATCCGGCGGTATGGGAACGTACAGCCATTTCCACAGAATTGGGATATTCGGCCACTCTCTCTTGTTGTTTGCTTTCAACGCTATTATTATATTTATGTTGAACGCATAATTTTTTTACACGTAATTTGCGTCTGCAATTTAGGCAGATTCTGTTAATTTACGATGGACACGTTATATATGTGTTTCATAATAGCGCGTGGGTAACGTTAATTACATTACTAATGGATTTCCGTTGCACTCACGATGCTATTAACACAAATCTCCGTAGGAATAATCAACTTTTTGAGAATATCTAACAATTTTGTATTATATATTGCATATCTCTTTTTGCCGAGTATATTTAATTATGATAAATAAATTTCACCCGATAGTATAAACGCGGAGAGGAGTCGCAATTCTTTTATTTAAACGATTCGTCGACGAACAGGGATGGCAGTTGCGGTTTTGTAATAACGTAGACGAGGTATTAAGTCCATGAAAATAGATTGAATCGATGAGAGAAACGTCACTTGGACGGGATCCGAAATTGAAGTAAAATAGCTCGCGGGAGCCGTTTGATTTAACGATCTCTTTCGGGCTCGCGCCATAAAAAAGGGCGACCGCGCGGAATAGATAGCCGATAATAAATCGATATATACGACGATTCGACGAACGCCAGGAGAGAAGGATCCCACGGCCGGGGGGTTTAACGAGCGGGGTGTTGAAAAAAAAGGAGGGAGATTACAGGCGACAAACCTGATAAACTCCACCGTGCGCAGGAAGAGCTCCTTTGTGTCCAGCAGCTCGGCGTCGTCCCACGGTACGTTCTCATTTATGTGCGCCTCCGCCAGATCGCAGTTGCTCTGGATATTCGCGATTTCCAATTCGAGATTCTCTTTGAGCTGAATCAGGCCTCTGAGCTCGGTGCCGAGGTATCGATCGACCTCGTTACGCAGATGTTCCGTGCGGTCCTTCAAAGCCTTGCTCAGCCTCCGATAAATCTCGTCCACCTCTTCGGCGACCGAGGCGCAGTTCGTTTGCAGGCCCAGGGTGTTTTTCTCCACCAGGGCCAGCGCGTCCTGCAGCCTGTGTATACCCCTGCGCACCTGGGAACACAAGGGCATTCGAGATTTGACAAGCCGGAAATGCAATTCCGCACTAAGCCTACGAGCTGTCGTGGCGCGATTGCGATATCGATTATGCAAATGAACAATGGGCGTGGGTGAACGCGCTCAATTATCGCTATTATTAATGTAAATTTAACGCATTAATTATGCAAATGTGTAGTCACTTGGAAATCTCAAAAGACAAAATAAAGATAATAGCTTTTCATATGATGTTTTACATGTGCTTGAAGGATATTTTTAATATTATTGCTATTTTGAATCAACTTTCGATGATTCGTAGAATCGATTAATCGAAATTTCCCTCGTTTTAGATATCATAGGAAGAAGCAAATTCGTCGACGAATATATTTAGATTTTATTGTAGCATTTCATATATATATTACATGTGTTTGAAGGATATTTTTAATATTATTGCTATTTTGAATCAACTTTCGATGATTCATAGAATCAATTAATCGAAATTTCCCTCGTTTTGAATATCTTAGGAAGAAGCAAATTTGTCGACAAATATATTTAGATTTTATTATAGCTTTTCATATATATATATATATATATATATATATATATATTACATGTGTTTGAAAGATATTTTTAATATTATTACTATTTTGAATTAACTTTGAATGATTCATATGATCGATTAATCGAAATTTCTCTCATTTTGGATATCTTAGGAAAAAACAAATTTGTCGACGAATATATTTATATTTTATTATAGCATTTCATATATATATATATATATATATATATATATATATATATATTACATGTGTTTGAAAGATATTTTTAATATTATTGCTATTTTGAATCAACTTTGGATGATTTATAGAATCGATTAATCGAAATTTCCCTCGTTTTGGATATCTTAGGAAGAAGCAAATTCGTCGACGAATATGTTTAGATTTTATTATAGCTTTTCATATATCTTACATGTGCTCCAAGAATTTTTAATATTATTGCTATTTTGAATCAACTTTGGATGATTTATAGAATCGATTAATCGAAATTTCCCTCGTTTTGGATATCTTAGGAAGAAGCAAATTCGTCGACGAATATATTTAGATTTTATTATAGCTTTTCATATATCTTACATGTGCTCCAAGAATTTTTAATATTATTGCTATTTTGAATCAACTTTTGATGATTCATAGAATCGATTAATCAAAATTTCTCTCGTTTTGGATATCTTAGAAAGAAGCAAATTCGTCGACAAATATATTTAGATTTTATTATAGCATTTTATATATCTTACATGTGCTTCAAAAATTTTTAATATTATTGCTATTTTGAATCAACTTTTGATGATTCATAGAATCGATTAATCAAAATTTCTCTCGTTTTGGATATCTTAGAAAGAAGCAAATTCGTCGACAAATATATTTAGATTTTATTATAGCATTTTATATATCTTACATGTGCTTCAAGAATTTTTAATATTATTGCTATTTTGAATCAACTTTTGATGATTCATAGAATCGATTAATCAAAATTTCCCTCGTTTTGGATATCTTAGAAAGAAACAAATTCGTCGACAAATATATTTAGATTTTATTATAGCATTTTATATATCTTACATGTGCTTCAAGAATTTTTAATATTATTGCTATTTTGAATCAACTTTCGATGATTCATAGAATCGATTAATCGAAAATTCTCTCGTTTCGGATATCTTAGGAATAAGCAAATTCGTCGATATATTTAGATTTTATTATAGTTATACTATAACTATCCCGGTATTAGATATACAGGCCTGAATATGGAGTGTGAAAGCAATAAGGGATCTGAACACATAAATATCATAGAGCAAGGCTCTGGCCGAAGCTTCTCACAGTTTCATCATCTCAGAAAGCATCAGATTTTCATAGCCTTGTATATAATTTAAATCTAATTATGCCGTTCATGATCAACGTGAAGCAACACCTTGATCTAAATTAATTAAGATATAGAGAGACGCGATTCTTTTAAATTGTAATCCAAAGAGAAATTATTAGAGTAACTTTTTTCTAAAAAGAAATACACATAAAAAATACACACGCAAAATGCGCATTGAAAAAAGTGCCGAAGTGTTTTGCGATTGTTTCGACTCGATGACTTATTTCGCGTCGATAATCATCATGTAACCTAAAATTAATGCATTACTAATTTTTTTTTCACTCAAACCTTTTATTAATTTTGTAACAAGTCATGAGATAGAAAAATTCAAAGTAATACTCTTTATAATCAAACTTAAAACATCGAAAAATGGAAACAGTTTATGACTCAGAAGAGAAGATTTGCTTGGTATATAGAGAAAATCCATCTAAATTTATGGAAGATATCCTAAAAGCACACAATCGATATCGAGCCATTCACAATTCACCGCCGTTGCAAATAAATGAAAAGGTAGCAAATAGTAGCCGAATAGTTTTTATCTCTGACATGAAATATTTGTTTGAAAATTCTATCGAATCCGCTTTTTTTTTTTTTTTTTTCAAATTTAGCTACGCGTGCAATTTTTTTCAAATTCAATTACACGTCGTTGCATTATTTCGCGAGAAACACTGCCAGAGAAGAGACGATTATTATATCCAAAATAATACTACTATTGTACTATCTATATAGATATTTAAAATTGTGTAGCTGAACGAGCGTGCTCAGCAGTTGGCGAAGAGTTTATCGGAAAATGGAGAAGAAGCGCTGAAGGAAGCTTACATACCGTACGGCGAAAATGTGTACGTCAGACATCCTCACTGGAGAATGCTTCCCGAAGAGCCGGTGCAATATTGGTGAGAATTTTGCGCAAAAGATATTGACATGCAGATGAAAAGTAATATAAAAGAACATACTGCATAGCTGGCGCCGACTAAGATATTCGCAATAATTTGTTATGCTAATAATAGTTCCGCTAGCATAACAGATTATTGCAAATATTCTAGTCTGCGCTAACTGTGTAATATTCTTTTACATTACGCGTTATTAAAAACATAAGCAAAATTTAAGTCAACTTTAAATATATATTAATGAAAAACAGGATTTTTCGTGCAAATATTCTCTCTCCCTAGAGAGAAATTTCATAATAATTATAATTTTTATGTAATTTAAAAATTAACGAGATTTTTCCATATTTTCCAAAATTAATATGCATTCTTCCGCAAGAAAAAATAATTTAATTAAAAGAGTTCGTGCGCGTATCTTCTTTTTTCACCATAATCCTTTCATTTACTTCGGTGTGCAGGTATCAAGAGAGTAGGTATTACAATTACGACGCATTACGACCGAGGAATTTGAAATACGTGCGTAATTTCACTCAACTGGTATGGAAAGATTCGAAATTGATGGGTATCGGTATTGTCACCGGTTGGAATGGAAAGGTTTATGTTGTGTGTAGTTATGATCCAGCGGCAAATGTCGACGGTAAATTTCAACATAATGTGTCGCCGCCCAAAGAGGTAAGAAAATAATATAAATAATAAACATTTTTTATAAAATAGCATATTTTTTTAAGAAAATTAATATATTGATGTGATGTCAATGTCAAAAATTATACGTATCATAAGTGATAAATCTAAAATAAAAATGATTATTGTGTAATAAGCAAATACGGCAAGAATAGCGATAATTAATATTTTAATTTTATATTATATATATAATATATATTTTTATTGTATGATATATGCAATAATCATAGGGTCAAATTGTGCCCGATTTACGATGAAAATTAAAGTAATTCACTCTATTATTTTGCTGGATGATAGGGAAAAGTGTAAGGAATGCATTTATTGAGAATATTTCTCTGATGCTCTAGCATTATAATTTCTTGCTGTGCTGCAAATTCGAGTTACATCGATAATTTTACCACGCATTTTTGTGTCGTTTATTTCGCGAAACCTCGCTTTTATGCCTCGCGAAACGAGAGACGTTATTTTCGAATGTGATTTTATAGCCTGTCATGCGTACCGTTGAAATTAAATATAAATCGGTTAAATCGCGAGCAATTAAAATAAACAAATCAAATATTTTTAGACAGAATATATTGTGCACACGCTGGATGAAACACGTGTGCAAAGGTATTTGTAGCTCCCATACCGTGGTAATCAACGAAATTTTCCGGAGTGCAGAATAGAAATTGTATTAATGGCTTAAATCATACGCGATAAATGCACACAACTGCTTTAAAAGAAATATTTTCTATGGAAATACACGCATACAGGGCACTCAAATTATATATATATATATATATATATATATATATATATATATATATATATATTGTACATACTACACTACGTAGAATAAAACAGCTAAAAATATTTGTTTTCCAATGTATTGAATGTAAATGCAATTTTACGAAGTGTCACACCATAAATGGAACATTGAGCGAGTCTGTTTTTTTAATTGATTAAATCAAGTACTATTAAAATAAATAAGAGAAACTTTTTAAAAGAGGATTATTTTATTTTATACACTATTTCGCGAAATAAATGCGACCCAATTTGTTTTTTTCTCTCCACATACGTTCAAAAATAATTATTCTGTATCGCTTTTTGTGCTTAAAATGCGCACTTTCTCACGACATGTATATGCTATCTATCTAAATCGAGGGTAATTAAAATTAATTAAGGCCATCCTAAAGTGGTTCACTTATTTTGCCGCATAAATTTTCAAGTGTAATTCATACAATAATGAAAATCGTCGTATTATAAAGAACAGATTGTATAGGTAAAAGCGTCGTGACACGGAAAAGTCCGATTGTTAACTAATTAATTGAAGCCCCGGTAAAATTCCCAATGCCACTCCAAGCGCTAATTTATTAGTTACCTTCGAAAAATTTCCCGGCACTGGAATTTGCTAATTAATTAATTAAATCATGGAAAATGTACAACAAGAGGCGAAAATATAGTCTGAATGATTTATGGAAAAAAAAAAGATAAAAACAATACATAAAAAGTAAAAAGCATTTTTATATTCTCTCTCTCTCTCTCTCTCTCTTTCTCGGCAGGATAATTTAATCCAATCAAAAGGCAGAAAATATTAGATACGTTTAATTGAAACGTGAACTTGAGTCGTTATTTTATAAAAATCTCAGTCTATGTTTAAACTGAATATACTATGTATATAGATTTTAATTTACTTGTCTTTCATTTATGAATTTTTACAGCTAATTTATAGTCGATCTTTCTTTAAAAAAATTTAATATTAGGAATTTAAATTTAAAAGAATTATATATATATATAGGCTGATTTGTAATCAATTTTTCCTTAAAAAGAATTTAAATAGATAGCAATTACAATACAATTTTCAATATTATAAATACATAGTTTCTGGGATATATAATTTTTCAATTATCGAAAAAGTATATTTATTTAATACGTTTCAATTTATAATATATAAATAAATAATTTCTTTGAAATATGTAATTTAAAAAAAAATTTTTTTAATTCTATAAATGCATATTTATTTAATGCATTTTAATTCATAATGTATAAAAAGACATTTCAAAATAATAAACGCTCTTTTTTATAATTACGTGCACCATCTCCATTACTTTCCATTACACGTCGACCTTTTATTTGCGCTTGTAAATAACCGAAAGATGGATGAAATGAAATATAAACGGCAATCAGCATTTATTTCCCATCGAACGGGAAAAGCGAGCCAATATTTCAGACACGCACACGCAATTTCCGGGGTACAGTGGAGAAGATGGCTCCGATAGACGGTTTCGCGTTAGCAACTTTGATGGTTGAAATATGGTAGCGAATCTGTGCGAGCCTCACACACGTAATATCCCGTTTGTCGATGCGCGATCAGGGTGTCTCTGGACTGTCTCAAAGACGGCGCCGTGCTGGAAATAGACGTGATTCATCGAGGCACTTCTAGAGACACGCGGCGAATTTGCACGAGTCTGAACGCCATCTTGTTCGATCCGTCCAATCTAGCACAGTTTGTCTCGTAAAAAATTCTTGACATAAATAAAAAGTTTACGAGAAAATCGAACGCGAGCCTGATCGGCAATTGACAGTCGCAACTTTCTTCGCTCGCTCATGAAATCATTATTGAAAAAGAATTTATTTTTTACAATCTCATCTGGATTCTTTGAGCCTGGCATCTTGAAAATTTATTATATGATTTTTCAACTCCATATTTTGAGCGTTGAGATATCTGATGGAAAGAGTTTGAGATCTTTTGGCACAAATTGCTGAATTAAAAGCTTGACGAATTTTTTTATTTTACTCGAGGATCCACGATCTTATTTTATTGATGTCTTACTTAATTGATATTTATGTCGCATTATCAAGATACAGATTTAACTAGCTTAGATTTATATATTGCACGGCCGTTTGTGTAGAAAACAAAATATCTAGGTCGCAATCTTGTTTCCTACCCTATCGTGCACGGTTAATTGCAATGCGCCAAGTTTCGCGGCAATAAATTTCCCGTCGCTGAAGGGGGTGAAATGTAACGAATTTAAAGTACACCCCAATACCGGATACTGTAACACAACAGTTACCCGACCTAACGTCTACTCGGTGAGCCAAAGGGAAAATTAGTTATGCAACTGGTTAAATTAGTTTCCACGATCGGTCTAGCAAAATTTCTCATAGCCAAGCCTGCCTTTCAAACATATATAAGATAAGAGAACTTGATCGATATCGATAAATTATGCACATGCATAGATCGCGATAATGAAAAGAAATGTGAAAAATGGTCATTCATTTTATTTCGCGGTGTAACAAAGTATTTTAATAATTATTCGCGAGACGTATCGGAATATCGGTCAATATCAAGCAATTAATTATCTCCCCCCCCCCCTCTCTCTCTCATCCCTAATTCTCGTTTCCGTTAAATTACGGTGTAAGTGTCTTCATTTTTCAGACTTGATTCTCGCAATTTTTCGGATTTTTAATGATCTCGGAGGACGTTTAGCCGTTTACCTGGGAATTGATGCGCGCAATTTCGCGTCTGAGGATATCCATGTGCGCATCCTTGCACTCGGGACAGCATTTCTTCTCGCAGTGGACGCACAGCGAGCAGTAGCTCTTCTCCGAGCAAACACCGCAACGTTCCATAGTCTGACCGCTGGTCGGGTCCGGTAGTTCCCCAGTGATCTCGATATGCAATTCCAGGAATCGTTGCAGTGTTACGTTGGTCGGAAAGGCTTGCACGCCCTGCAAATAGCAGAGATGTATCATCGGTTCGATCAGCCTTCGTAATGCCGCTTATTAATGGACTGGAATCGTAATTAATTGAGCGAGAATTAATTACGCAACCCGTGACGTCTAATTAATAACGTTATCCGAATGGAAATACCATCTACAATTTCGATAAAAAAAGTTGTCGTTTTTTTATAGAAATATATGTGATGGTATTACTGTATTCTACAAAAATCATCTGTGTAGGATAAATAAAACGCGCGAACGTGTGTTTTTCAATTCTTCTATTTCTTCGAAAAATATAATAGCATAATTTTGTTATGCGACAACATTTGTGAATTCCTGCGTAAACACGTTCGATTATTCTGGAAAAACAGACCGGTCGAACAGTCGGAAGACAACATGTGTTTGAAACCGGTGTGAGAGGGCACTCGGTTCAATGAGAGTCCTCTCGCGTTTAGATTCATCGTTGAATAAAGATGAGCTCGCACGTAACGTCGCACACGCTGTCGCGCGTAAGGAACTGAATTGAATTTGCGACGAAACGACAGATCGATTTTTGCCCGATATCGTATTATTACTTATTATTATTGCGCCGGAAATATATTAAAGACATAAACGCGATAAGGCGACGTACATAACAGTCGGAGAACCGCGCCGTTTCGCAACAAACGAGCAGCGACAGCTTGCGCAAATGTGCTCCGTATAAATTTTGCGAAACCGCGAGAAACTAAATATAATATATATATCTAGATAATTTATTTTTCGTTCATTTCGCGCGTAATTTTTAATCTGATCGGAGGCACTTTACGTGTAATTCTTTCTTCTAACGCTTCCAAAAGTTTTTTATTACTTGAGACATTATTTAACGGTTATATAACAATTATGTAACAATTAGTAGCTATTATCTGGATCATTTATTGTTAGTTCATTTTGCGTGTAATTTTAGTCTGATTGGAGATACTTTAGGGGATGCCGGAGTCTTGTTTTATTGATAAAATTATATTTGATTTTCGTCCGAAATCTTTTTATTAGTTGCACAAAATAAATGCTCGTCCACGATTAAAGTACATGCAGAAACAAAGCGGGAACCTTCTGATTTTATATTAAAAATTTTTTAAAAATTTAAAAATCGTAAAGATCATAACAATATTTGTTTTAATATAAAAGTTTTGCAGCTTGTATGCACAAAATAAGATAGGTTCCCGCTAGAAATTGTATGAAGGAATATAAATGAACTTTTAAGTAAGTTTAGAAGCCTGATGAAAAAGATTTCGGTTTATTTACCAAAATCTTTTTCATTAGGCTTCTAAACTCACTTTTAAAAATTCATTTATATTCCTTCATACAATCTCTAGCGGAAACCTATCTTATTTTGTACATACAAAGCAAATATTGTTACGATTTGAAGCCGATAAAAAACTGCAATCTTTCAATTTTTTCTTAATTTTTAACATAAAATCAGATAGGTACCCGCTTTGTTTCTGTATGTACTTTAATCGTGGAGGAGCATTTATTACTCAGTGCAATTAATAAAATGATTTCGGACGAAAATGAAGTGACATTTTATCGATAAAACAGGACATTTTTTTGAAAAATATCTTTATTAGTTGAAACATTAACGTTATATATCGTATAAAGATTAGTGGTTCTTACCTGATATGGTATGCGATGTTCGGCGCGGCATTCTGGACACTTGACCTGTCGACGAACGTAATCGACGAGGCCGTCCATGCATGGCTCCATGCAAAAGCTGTGTTGACATGGCAGGAGCTTCGGGTTTCTGTATCGGTCCAGGCATATCGCGCAAGTCAGCAGCTGCTCGAACTGCTCCATGCCTGTAAAAAGAAGGAAACTTATTCCCGATCTGCTTTACATAAGAGAGAAGGAGGGGGAGAGAGCAAAGGAGTTATCTGCCTTATTCAATCTTTCACGCAGTGCAGTTTATACGTATGTACATATATAAAATATATATTTTTGCATGCACATCTCTTAGAATATATTTTTTTTCTTCTCATGCGTATAACATAACTATAGAAACATATCTAAGAAATATTATTTTTTTTAATATTATATAAATATATTTAATATATTTATATAATATTTTAAAATATTATAATAAATATTATAAAATATTATAATATATAAATATATCAAAATATTTAATATATAAATATATAATTAAATAATATATAAATATATATTTAATATATTAAAAATATTCTTTTTCGTTACGTTCTAGTTTCTTAAATTTTTTTAATGCCAAGAATATGTTTAAATATATTTAAAAACGTTTATTGCGTATCACAAAAAATACGGAATATATTCTCTTTCAATGCGTTTCGAATCTTGCAAAATTTTGATACGTCATAGTTATCGTCATAGTGAAAAAATAGATACTGATATAACGGCTATAACCAGTCATCGTATTAAAATACTTGCTAAAATTTTATTCATCTAGCCAAGGTGTTAAAAGATTAAGGAAACAGCTGTTTCTTGTTTACTTATATAGTTGCTTGTTTTGCAACAATCATATGACTGGATCGATATTTATATGTTTATTGTAGAATTCTTAGCAACGCAATTCGTATCAATTAGAGTGCTAAAGAAAGGAAAAAATGCAAGTGATATATTGATTAAATTATATATTTTATATTATATTTTATATAAATAACAATTAATTAAAATAATGTATTTATTAGAGTTTCTCTCTTTTTTCCCTATACATTTAAAAAATTAATTAAAGATTGTACGCGTTCTCCATAATTAATCATTTAAGCTTTACAAGATAAAAAGAATCTCGGTGACCGGCGTAATACATCATAAGTGCCAAGACAATGTCAAGATCTTCGTGAAGTCATTGCACGCTTCTATTTTAAGATATGATGTATCATCAGTGTAAAATTGGTAAAAGAGATAGGTGAACTTAGAGGGCAAGCCTGAAAACTCGTCGCAAATGATAAAAAAGTTTTTTTGCCGTGATTGTAAAGAGTCGAGTATTATTGATCAAATAATCTTATTCACATCTTTTTCTAGTGCTTGCAATCAAATATACTTTTCTTAGTATCACTCGCGAAATTTATAATATTTTTTGATATCTTGAAAAATAAAAATAAAAATTATAGTCTTATATAAATATTTCTTTAAACATTATATAAATAATAAATAATATTATATAAATATAGCTTATATATCAACATTTCTTAGAAATTTTTTTCATTATATTCCTCAAATAAGTCAAAATTTCATAAATCGTTTCATAGAATATTTAGATTTTCGGATAAAATAATATATTAAAATAAATAAAATAATATATTAAAATAAATCAATAATATAATAAATACATTATTATTTTAATTAATTGTTGAAATGTGTTCACTGCAGAGATAGTTTCGTGAAATGTAATTGCTGTAATAATAGTATTAGATCGTGATGTATTGTTATAGTCCTATTGTAACGTTCACATTGAAACAAGTTATATTACAGATCGAAAACCGCGATAACCGTAATAATTATTTGAACGTCGCTAATGAGTGAATGATTACTCATGCAATCCACGAATTAATTATCGTGCTTGTACGAGGCGCGTAATATCCGAGATAATCCCGATTAACGTGAAACGGACGTTTTATTTAGTGTAAAACAAAAATTTAATAAAAATTTTACTTGCAACACCACATTCCATCTATCTAATATAAATTTGATTGTAGCACTTTTTTAATAAAATTGAAATAAATTGCTTTAAATAAATTAAAAGTAATTCGAACAATTTCTTTTCCTCTATTCTTTTATATTACTCTTCTCCTTTTATTCTTATTTCCTTTTACGTTGCAATAATTTAATTTCTTTCATTTCTTTTTTTTTCTTTAATTAAAGGAAAATATTAAATTTACATATTTCTTGCGTTAAAAATTTTTGGATTATTTAATTTCTTATATAATTATATTTATATTATTTATACATATAATTATTTGTATATAAAATTTAAATCATCGATTTATTTTGTTAATTTCCAACAAAGAAACATCATATGAAATTCAATAGATTCAATTTTGAAAACATTATAAATGACGTGCATGAAAATCTGAGAATTCTATAAAAACTTGCGGGATCTACATCATTTCTTTCTCTGGAACGGAGATGCTCGATCAATGTCGATTCTAATTCCATGAGACACCAGTTTATTTCAGATCCGACCTTCTCTTGCAAAGTATCCGACAGTTTGTCATCTCGATCTGATGATGCCAAGGCAAACGTTTATTCACCACTAAATTAATATATCCGGATTCTAGCTAATAAAAATTGGAAATGGACCTTTATTAAAATTTCAAGGCATTAAAGAAGCCAAAAATTTTAAATATAATTCTAGATTCTAGATTTTTAAATAATTGCGTTGATCATTTTGTGTTAAATTTCCGATATATTTATATTTATAATTATATAAAATTCTATGAAAATATTTTTTTTCTGGATTTTTAATATAAATGTCTTAGCCGTTTTATTTTCAATATTTATAACTGTATATACAATTTTTTCTTTTAAAATTTATATTATTTTTTATACTACACTCTAAAGAGTTATATCTTGCAAATTTAAATATATTTCACAAATATATATATGCATAAACAGAATATATATTTTATAGGATTAAATATTAATAATTAATAATTAATTTAATAATTAAATATATATTTTATAGAATAACTTCTTAAAAAAATAACTTCTTCAAAACTGGCGCTTCTTTCGTATAGAAAATCGTATAATGTTCTAAATTAAACTTGTCCATGTATGCGTACCATTCGAAGCTCTTTAAGCATATATTTCGCAATTAACTCGGACGAAGAATAAATTAAAAATATATGTACTCTCTAAAAGTGAATCAGTGTATTATCACTGAAAAACAGTAAATAGTCACTGATTACAGCAGTTATAAGTACATCACTGTAAATCAGTGATATTTTATTGAAAAAATCAGCTAATAATTTTGACTGTTTCAATCAATAATATTTCTCAATATCAGTAATATTTCTTTTGTTATTATCAGTAATATTTAACTAATTCATCTCTCTATCTATTTCATATAAAATTAAAAATTTTATATTTATTAAATATTTATTATATTAAAAATTTTATTTTATTTATATTACATGCATATTGAACTTGTTATTTTAAATAGATAACGAACAAATAATTTTCATTAAGTCGCCAGACATTTATTTGTCCGACTTATAAAGATCGATTTAATATCTGAAGCCTCTCTGGGCTTGTATCAGAAATTAAATCGAAGTAATACTTCTAATTTTAAATGTCGCTCTTTGCAAACTTTATATAATTCTTATAACTAAAATTAAACACGAGAGAGATAGCGATTGTAGCGGTAAACGAACGAACTAGCGATTTTACAGTAAAATTTACTGATTTTACAGTGAATTTTATTTTAACTGACTATAATCAGTGATATATAAGATAAAATAACAAAAAAATAAGCGTTTTCACTGAAGATCACTAAAATATTCACTGATTCTCAGTGAAATTTTATTTTACTGTTTAAATTCGTGATATTTTCACTGATTCACTTTTAGAGAGTATAATCTTAATACTATTCTGTTGAGATCGCTTAAACGGCAACGATGAAAAGAAATACGACGAACATAAGATCTTGGATAAATTTAGACAACGTAGAACACACCTACACCCGCGTACGCGCGCGTCAATATCACACGCGGAACGTTCAAAGAGATTGTTCGAAGCGGATACGTGTGTAGGCAGAAGTCGAGCCAAATTCGTTTTGGCTTTCGCAAGTTTCTCGACGTCTCTGACGTTGCTGACGTCGAAGGTCGCCACGTCGAGGACCGATCGGGCTTCCGAGCCGACACAATGGCGAAAGCTAGTACATTAGGAAGCATTGTTACCGTTAGACGAACCACTTGTTGGATCTTAAAGCGAACTCTCCCCCTTTCTCGCTCTGCGTGTGCGTCGGCGGGGAGGGGGGGAGACAATGAGGGGGAGGAGGGGTGCAACAGGCAGCGAGCAACGATTGTATTAGCAACTTTCATGGGCGTTGCCATGAGAATGAAACGGGGTGCTAATTCTGACACTTTGACTGTGAGCCTCGAAACTTCACTCGAAAGCCCGCCGGGGAGATGCCCGCCTACGTTATTTAAATCCCCATTTCGCTACGCTTTAATTATGCGGTCGTATTCCGTGGTGGATCACAGGGACTTTCCGGTCTTTCGAAAGGGAGTTCGAGTCGCACTTTCATCGGAGAGTACCATGAGTAATGAGAAATCTATAACAATGATAATATCATACGCATGACTTCAGGGAAATTCATTGTCGCTGTTAGAAATTAATGTTTCAATGAACATTATTGTTGCCATTAAAATTTCGATCATTAACGCACGATATTTGTACGTCATATTTCCATAAAAAATTAAATTATTAATTAAAAAAGGAACACATTTTTATTTTTATTTTTTGTTAAGCTTAATGATGAATTAGTAAACAGTAAAATAGGAAATAATTATTTTTGTAGTCGAAATAAAATAACAAAAAAATCCAGCACTCAAAGACTTAATTTATAAAACGTACAGATGTATATATGTGAGATGCACGTGGACAAATGAGTTAATTATAAAATAAATTATAAATATAATAATGAAATATCAGTTTTTAATCAAACATATGTTTATATATTTACATATAAAATATGTACATGTAAATATATGTATTATTTATCCATAAAATATATATATATATATATATATATATATATATATATGTATGTATGTATTTATAGACGAGTATTTCTCTCATTTAAAGCGCAATGAAAGCGTCGCATAATGAGAATTCGGAAAGTCCGAGTGTCATGCGTTGGCGAAATGCGGTTGCACGTGGCGCATTATTATTCTCGTGGAGCAAAATAAACAGCGTCGTGAATGATTCAGCTTTTTCCTTTGACTACGAGAGACAGAATTTGCGGGCATTATTTCATGAAAGCGGAATATTTCGAGTCGTTTCTCCTCGTCTAATGCATTTCGCGAAATGTACGCGTGCAACGTAATTGAATGCTAAGGGATTTCGCGAAATCTAGATTTGTCATTTATTATTTCGAGATACAGCACAGCGCGTTGCTGTTTTACACCTTTCACGTTCAATTTTCATTCTATCTTTGTGCCTTTATCAGTTTTCATGATTATATTGTGTATGTATTGTAATATGTTATTGTTATTTATGTTCAAATTTGGAGAAATTAATATTACACAAGCGGAGTAACTGGAATTAAATTATATAATTATTAATAGCCACTGATAAAAATTAAAAATGCATTAGTATTAAATAACTAATCTAAATAATAAATTTAAATTAATTGGGAAAATGTGTTTAACGCAATGCATATAGAGCGTATATCAAAGATGAGAATAAATCCTAAATTGCGAGGCTCTCTCTTGATTATTGACAGATTTTTTTCGCACACATGGGTGCGCTAAATTAATATTGTAAGCTTGCAATCTTAAATTATCACGTGATCGAAGAGATTACTTCTCTTAAATTAAATTGCTTAATGATCGATCCTAAATGATCGCTGGAATATACGATGCACCTGCATCTAATCAACGAATCCTAAATTGCTTATAAAGCGACAGGCATGCCGAGTAATTTCTCCGCGGTGCACAGCATGTAATTTGTGAGCGACTAATGTCTCGTAACCTCCCAAACGCGCTTGCCGATGTACACGAGGAGAAAGATAAATCTTCCTAATTTCATTCGGGCAGACAGTGACATTAAGGACACTCGGCATATCTCTTTCTCATTTTGGGAAATGGGAAAAGAGTAGAGAGCGCTCGTTAAAATATTCGTCGCGTTATTCAAACACACCTCCAACATTGAGGTGCTTTCGCTTCAAGAGATTCAGGAAATATCAATCCAATTAATTTAATAAATAATCCTACTATTAATATTAGTTAAATAATCCTACTCGTTTAGACAAGACTCATTTTATTACAATACCATACGTAGAGAATACGAGTCATGATCTGTATCGTCTTTTGCGAAATAGTGGTTTTAACGTCGTCTACAAAATAACAAAAAAACTAAATAATTTAATTAGACGCGGTAAAGACAGCTTACACAATAATGACAAGACAAGTGTTGTATACAAATTAAATTGTAAGGATTGTAATTTATCATACATTGGGCAAACAAAAAGACATTTACGTACTCGAGTGAAAGAACATTGTAATAATATAAAGTTACATGAAACTAATCACTCGGTCATTAGCAAACATAGATTGGAATCTGGACATGATTTTGACTGGTCGAAACCCAATATTTTGCATAATGAAAAGTATGTTCGAAAGAGAGAGATTGCTGAGATGTTCTTTATCAGGAGATTTAATAATCTAATCAACCTACAGAAAGACACGGATAGTTTAAACAACATTTACGACAAAATAATAAAGGTCACGTAGTTTCGTTTTTCCTCTGGTTGTGTTTAGTTTCTTGACGAAGTCTCACACGGACGCATCAGTTTCTCTCAAATTCGAATCTAGTTAAATAACGTTTTTTTTGTTAATGTGACTAATGTGCAGTTTTACAAGATTATCGTCTATGCCTGTCTCCTGATTATTATTACATCGGTAAAAAATTGTTCACACTTTAATTCGTTGTGCTTACTATGTATTTAAACCGTTAATTAATTTATTTATAAATCTTTTCCAGTATATACTTGATAAGGACCACAACCATATGGTCGAAACGTCGTATTAATAAACAGATTTTCTGGCTAGTTTGGTCGACTACACTTTTTTCAATAATCCTTCAATCAATTTTCAATCAAAAGGTCAAAAAATTTAATGCCCATTTATATCTTACCAGATTGATACCAGTCGGAGTACTTTCGACCGGTGTAAAAAGTTTTTATCACAGTCGCGCAGAGTTTCGAAAATCATTGAAATTAAAAAAGTAGAGCAAACCCCCCCATCGCTCTCGATTGAAAAGGAAATCTTCCTCCCTTCTCGATGAGCACAAAAAATAAATTCTTGCAAAAAATTAATAAGGTATTAAGTAAAATGGAAATTTAAATACCTAATCTATCTGTCAAAGCGCGAGCGAGAGGAACTTTCGGGATGCGATATCGAAGAGGCACCACCCTCGTTGGCGATCCGTCGATGCGTAGCAGACTGATCGCGGTTTCAATCTTCGATTGAGGTCTCTCTTTGCACTCGTGACTCGCGCACGAGGCGTTATTGATGATCCGTCCACGTGTCGCGGTTCGACAACGATAACAAGATGCCTGGAATATTTGGCACTCGTCACAAAAAAGCACAAAAAAGCAGCGCGGTTAGGCTTGCCGGTTATCGCGACACGTTATCGACACGTTCTGGACCGCGCTTCTGGAATCTGCTCGGTCCACGCGAGATCCGGTATACTGACACTTCTCGACGTCACCGGCCAGACTTATGCTCGCTCGGCGCGGGCTATACTTAGCCGGGAGGACCTTCGATTTCCGGCGGTTTGTTTTCGGCGAACGAGATCTTTGGTGGAAAGCACACGTCGGAATACGCAAAGCGAAGCTGCTGAACGTGATCGGAAAATTTCGCACTTTCATCCTCCCCCGATTTGCGTTTTTCAATGAATGATGGAATGACGTTTCTCTCGTGCAGAGCGCACGCTCTTCATTTTAACGCTGACGTTTAATAATTAGCGACATGGAGTTGCTCTCTCTCTCTCTCTCTCTCTCTCTCTCTCTCTCTCTCTCTCTCTCTCTCTCTCTCTCTCTCTCTGCAAACGCGGAATATGAATTCGGTAGTCGGTTTCCAATTATCCGTTTTATAGAAACAAAATGACATGATATGCGTAACGAGAGCCGTTTAATAATCGTTCCTGTTTAATGTCAATATTAATATGCATTCTCTCTCTTGTCGACGTGGATCAACGAGAATTCCTATTCAATCCGCTGGCGCAGCCAGCTTTAATAACTACAGCGAACAATATTGCGCCAAATGGCCAAGTGACGTCGGATACAGATGTATATATATATTTTTTTTTTTTCTTCTTACTTCTTAAATGATACAAATATATGTGTCGTGTATGTGACAGAAATTACAAACGATCAAATGTTGCTCTGTTTTAACCACAAATATATTTTCTCCCTTTATTATTCGTTACTTTTTTTTTCTTCTTCGATTTCAACGTCCATATCAACGTCTAATTCAAATAATCGGCCCCCGAGCTCATGGAGGAAAAAAACATTGATAGGAAATCGGACTTTCGGTGGGGTCGTTTCCCATTTGTACGCATGGCGGATTGGAATGATAGTATCGGATCGGGCACGCAGGTAACTCCATTGACAGAAAAAAACATTCGGATATTCGTATTCGCGTATCTCCTTGTTTTCATTTCCAAATAAGCTTCTCTTAAATATCGGAAAAGTCCTCGCGAGATTTCACATTCATCTAAATGAGTGATTATGTTAAACATTGAAAAAAATCTAAAGAAATGCAAGAGCAATTATTTCGTTCTCTTGGGCGAATTTAAGAATGTTTTGTATGTACAATCCCAGCAAAAAGTAGCTGAAAATCAATATTGACGAATATATCCACTTTTTGTGTATTTTGAGTAAGAAATTGTGGATTACAATTTGATGTTAGCTACAGTGTAGAGATGTATTTTTTAATATTTATTGCGTTTTTACTGAAATATTCCGAATTTTGTTAATCGAAATAATTAACTTTTGGCAGAGAATTTCACCTTGTGTCAGATACATGGTTAATTTCATTGAATTATATTTAATATCTTTTTAACCAGTTAGTACTTGTATAATATTATTTGACCAAATATTTCCTTCGTATCTAAACTCCGCAACTTTTGCAAATTTTAAACAAATTTTGAAAATTATTTCCATGTATTTTTGTCATTTGAATCGACATGGTTATACATTTCCCATAAGAACACATATTAATTCAGTGCAAATTAAAATCCTTATATCTTGTGAACGCTTTAGTGAATCGATTCAAAAATTGTACTGAAAATTCTAAACATATGTAAGAATATTCTGTACAATTTTCATTAAATTCTCAATATTTTGAAAATAGGTACAAAACATCCATAATCGAAATGATTAACTTTTGACAGAGAATTTCGCTTTGTGACAGATACATGGCTAACTTCATTGAATTATATTTAATATCTTTTTAACCAGTTAGTACTTGTATAATATTATTTGATCAAATATTTCCTCCGTATCTAAACTACACTTTTACAGATTTTAAACAAATTCTGAATATTATTTCCATGTGTTTTTGTCATTTGAATCGACGTGGTTATACATTTCCCATAAGAACACATATTAATTCAGTGCAAATTAAAATCCTTATAACTTGTGAACGCTTTAGTGAATCGATTCAAAAATTGTATTGAAGATTTTAAACATATGTAAGAACATTCTGTACAATTTTCATTAAATTTTCATTAAATTCTCAATATTTTGAAAATAAGTACAAAACATTCTTAACACGAAGGATTGAATTTTTTCAGCGGAATAATTGCACAACTTGACATAAGTTCGTCTTTTAAAATAAAAATAAATTTAAATTAAATGATCAGCTGTACAAAATTTAAATTAAATAGTTCAGCTGTTGAAAAAGGTAAATCAACGCGCGTCGAAGTATTGATTGACAGGAAAAAAGAGGAAGGTACGGAGCCTCGAAATCCATGTTCGTGCGTGAAATAGCGGTCGACTACCGTGAGATGCCCGGTTATATTTAACCCGGCGCGTTATCCAGCACCGCTTATTTTCAACGCGATCTTAGAATAGCACCGCGCCGGAACGGTTTATCGACCAGAGCTTTTCTCACGCTGGCAAGATAGTTTTCTGCAGCCGGAATTATCCGGGCGGTTTGTGAGCCCGCCATAAGCTCGTTTTCCTGCGAATTTCATGCACGATAACTACAATTCCGTGCGCCAGAAGGTGCCACTCCTCGCGCGAGGCGAGGAGCTCTCTTCCTCACGATCTACGCTTTATGTCCGTTCTAAAAGCATCCCTCTCTCGCCTCCCTCGTTCTCCCTGGCCGCTATCCCTGGGAAAATAGATTTTCCGATTGCCATCTCGACTTCGCTTGGCTCCAAACGCGGCTCGTTTCTATTCAAAGCTGAATTGTTTCCATTAAACGGAACTGTTACTGCACTTTTCAAAAATCTACCCCAATATATTCTCTTGCAAAAAAATGAGATATATAAATATGAATCTCCCTTCAACTTAATTTAGGCGACGAGTTGAGAGACTCGAGGGTGGGAAAAGTATCACTTTAGGGATGCGCGCAAAGTAGATGAAATTTCTTATAGTTTGCGCGAAAGCCAGGAGGGAGTGACAGCGTCTTCTAACGTAATAAAGTTGATACGAGTTAGAAGCATACTGATACGTGAAAGTTAAAAATTCGCGTTTATCAAAGGAGACAAAGTTACGACGGGTGAAGTCGCGGGAGTTTTTAACACATTCCTCTTTCATATTCATCACGGATCCCCTGGCCGATTCTCCGAGTTTTCGCCTTCCTTTTCTCTCCCGGACCTTCCGCATTCAAACTCGTTCGTGGGGAATTTCGCGTCGCCAAACCCGCGACTCTCTAAATCTTCTTTCTTACCACCGCGATATAATGAGCTTTTCCCCGTTTTCCGGAATGCATCTGACCTTACGTGGCTATAAATCTCAAGGTTTTTGATAGAATTATGCAACAGCAATTATATTTATACTCATTTTTCTCGGTGAAATTTTAGATTAAAAAAAAAAAAAAAAACAAGCCCCGCGCGAGTTATTTATTACATTATTACCTCTATTAAACGTCATTTTATCGTGCGCGTCAATTTATCACTTTCAATTTAATCGGAATATCCAGAATCCGTCGGAGAATGATGGACGATAAAATGCGCCCGGGAGATCATTGATTTATCGCTGACTCCTTTTTTTTTTTTTACTTTCCTTTGTCGTTCTTAACTTTCTCATCAACGACTACGAATTTGAGCTTCCCCCCGATTTGATGCCCCTCCTTCCGTCACCCCTTTGCTTGGGAATGACGTAAAGTGTTTTTGTACGACTTCTCGTCATTTTATTTCAATGCGGGGAACTTTCGGTTTTTCTTAACAAGTAAACTCCTGGTGTACCGCTGATCCTAATTACTCCGTGATTCGTATTGTCCTGTTTTTCAACGTGCGCCGCACGTACCGTGTTAGTGGCATGGAGTGCTTGAAGTGCTTCGTGTTTACTGCGGTTTCGTCCCCAATAATTAGATTCCCGCGAGAAACTTTCCGGATGCCCCGCCTTTATTATTCTCCGTCGCGAGGTACAATTTTCGTCCAAAAGTCCGCGAGGCCGCTACTCCATAATTTCCGAGCTAACATTTAATTAATAACGTAGGTGCGCCTTACGAGTATCGCAATCTCGAGGTTCGCAATTTCGAGCAAATTGAAAAGTACACGGGATTTTATTGTGCGCGCTTGACTCCTCAAAAGTTTACTACCGACGTATAACATGTAACAAGTAGATGTAAATAACGAGGAGAAAAGATTCTCTCTTTCTATATTCGAGATACGCGACAAAAGTGCGCGAGGTTAAAGAAAATCCCTGAAGAAGGAAATAAACAAGAGAGATGGAATTAAATCTGTTTTAAAGCGGTAATCAAGTATCTCGTAAAGAGAATTTTCAAGAGGGTGCGAAATATTTTATACGTCGCTTCCGAATTTTCGCATTTTCGTGGCTCGCGTGTTCAAAGAGCGCCGCTTGAAGGAGACATAATAAAAAGAATTATATTTCAAAGCTGCTGAGATGCGCGACGATTCCACAATCGAGAGTGCCCTTCCCCACGAATGCGTGGATAAAGTTATATTATTGCGACCCAGCGGGAAAGAACAGCGTTATCGGAATGAGAGAAAACTTGCGGAAAGAGATTAAAAAGTTGGAAAAGCCGTGAATTGCGCCGAGACGATGGATAACGGGCGGAATTTTATATATATACAGCTTGATTAATATAAATTAATTACCGCGGGACGGAAATATATATGGGACGCTCGGGAGAAGGAACGCCTGGATTCGAATCGTTGGAAATAAGCCGATCGATCGTGTTTAATTGAATACAATGATACCGGAGAGAGCGAGCGAGTCTGCCCGCGAGGCTAGAAATTTTTTCATCCTCGCGAATTACGCGCGCAAGCTTTTTATATATTGCGGCCGTTTCGTTTTAATCATTCGAAATATAACGGAATAATGAAATATTATGATAATACACGATAAAAAATTGTGAGTCCACATGTTAAAATTTTCTTGTATTACCGCGTTTTGATTACTTTAATGTAAAATTAACATACCTATATGTTATTACACGGAAAAAAAGGACATTCTTGCTTTGAAAATATATTTAGTTTTAACATGGAAATCTT